AGGATAATAATATAAAGAGGTAATTGAAATGCTATCAAACTCTATCTATGCTCTTCATGCATACGTGCATAGTAGCATGATGTTGCCTAAAACTCTTCAAAGTATAACTTTGATCAACAAATAAGCAGGATTGGGTTTATCGTCTAACTCAATGCTTTTATCAAAAATTGCACGTTTGATAAAATGATATCTTGATTAGCTCAATGCTTTTATAAAAACTGCATGTTTGATAAGTGATATCTGATATCAATGTTCTTCAATCTGTTCATTATTTGATTTGAAGCAAGTTGTAAAGCACTCTGATTATTACAATGAAGATTAACAACGATCTTTTACAATCTCATCTCAATGATAAATCAATATAAACAAATAGTTTAAAGTGCCGCTATATATTTAGCTTCCATTGTAGATTGACCTACCTACGTCTCTAAGGTAGATCTCTAACTAATGCTTTTATCATCAAGTATAAACACATACTCAAATGTAGATTTATCTCGTTCAGATTTTGCGTATAATCAACATCAGCGGAGCCTGATAGGAATTTGGCATTGTCTAATAAATCATCAAATAATAAGCCATAATCCTTAGTTCTCTTCAAATACTTGAAAATCCATTTCATTGATTCCCAGTGAAACTTCCATAGATTTGAAATGTATCACCTCATTTTGTCTATTGCTAGAACAATATCAGGCCTTGTGCACACCATCAAATATGTGAGGTTGTTAACAACTTGGTTATATGAAACATATGACAGTTTTCCTTTCACTGGGATCGGTAGTACATTGAGCTGTGGAAAGTCTGAAATGTGTTGTCAAAGGAATCCATAGTTCTTCAGAATTTGTCATGCTGAACCTGTCAAATATATGTTAAATATACTTGCCCTTAGTAAAACCTAAACTACTCTTATTCAAATTCCTATAAATGAACATCCCTAGTTTACTCTTCAATTTTTTCAAATCCTTCATTTTAAATGCAGACTTCAATTGGTTCTTGCATTTATCAACGTTGGATTGGTTCTTCGTCAAGATGAGCATTTCATTCACGTAGAGTACTGGAGAATAAGATTTTTACATTTTTTATTCATCATCTTCATGTAAAAACAAGGATCATACACACTCCGTGAAAAATCTTATGCCTTCATGAATTCGTTAAAATGCGTATTTCAACTGACTATGAGATTGCTTAAGTTCATCTAGTGATTTTAGTAATCTACAAACCAACTTCTCTTAACCTTTCATCTCAAAGCCAACAAGTTGTCTCATGTAGATTTTCTACTGTACATATTTATAGAGAGAAGTTGTGATCATATCCATCAAATCAATAAAAAAATTAAAGAATGGATCCAATGCACATAACGGACAAATTGTAGCATATTTTGTTACAAATGAAAAAACTTTGTTCTATTTCACATCTTTTTTGTGTGAAACCTTCAACCATCAATCTAGTTTTTAAATATTCTTGCCTCGTCACTTGCTTGACAGTCTTTCACCTTGTACATTCACTTGAAAGCAATCAACGTTTGACTCCAAGGAAACTCAACTAGCTTTCAAGTTTTGTTAATAATCAGCATTTACATCTCATGTTTCATAGCAGTATTTCATTCAAACTTATTCATCAAAGCTTGAGTCTGTACAAAAAAATTACTCTTCTTCAATGATCAATGCAATGTTATCATCATCCTTTGTAATAATGTCATGATCTTCAAGAATGGATGAATCAACTCATACATCATACTTGACAAGAGCTCTACTAGCATGATTCGATAATATCCTAGTAAAAATTTTTGATTGATTTCTATCATCTGGTGCAAATACGTGAGATTCAACAACAAGAATCCATTCATCTAGTTCCTATTATCCATGAACTTGTTTCAATTATACCAGTATTGTTACTTATTTCAAATCATTAAGCACATAATGATCAAACTATCACTGAATAATATTTGTGATTGGAAATTCATACACAACAACATTTGTGAGTGAAGATTTTTTGTTATCAGTATGAGAAGTCTGAGAACTGTTTTCATCTGAGAACTGTTTTCATCTTTTACTGATTTGGGCTCTATTACTAGCTTCCATTCAAACGATGTCAAAAAATTGATTGCACTAGAAAAAAGAGATTTAACAAATAAACTGTGGTGTTGACAGCTTTGGTTCAAAACTCACATGGTAAATCAAACTGTCTCAACATACTCAGCATTTTTCCCTGATATTGTTAGATTAAATTTCTGAAAAACAACATTCTTTGGGGTCTTATCCCTTGTTTGTGGTTTTTGCTTGTATTGTGTTTTTTAGCCTTTTGACCATTTGTATACCTCGGGCTTGATCTATTACCATGTACCATTTACCATTTGCAAAGTATAAACTTTGACAAGTAAATACTTTCTCTTTGCAATAACTCTAAAAATTCTCAAAAGTATACTTTCCCCATTATCCATACGCAAATATTTCACATTTCATAACTTGGTACTTTCAACTTTGAAAGTTGCAAATAGCTCAAAATTGTGTGTGAAAAAATTAATCCACACAATTCCTAAAAAATCATCGATAAATGGTACATAATACAACTTTCCAAAGAGTGAGGCAATAGAAAAGTGTCTTCACATGTCCCTTTGTATATTCTAAGTAATTCTTTGGAATTATGAATCCCAACACCAAAGGCTTATATGTGTTGCTTGCTCATGGTACAATGTTCGCGAAACGCTAAAGTCAATTTTACCTAAACCAAGTAGCTACTTCCTCTCGTCTAGTAGAGACATGTAACTATCATTCATGAATCATAGATGAGAATGTCATACTTGAGACATTTTAACTAGAGATCCGGTAACTTGGCCACATATGATATTGCACTTTAGCAAGTACAAATTACTGTGCTTATGTTCTAGGCCGTGTGAGTCTAACATTCCAAGAGAAATCAAGTTCTTTCTCATGTCATATATAAACCTAACTTTGGTTGCTGTACATTTGATCTCATCCACATTTCAATGATCGATAAGAAATTATTAATAAACAAGAGTATTAAAATTAATTAATAGAAAGAGTCTTATTTCCATCATTTATTTTGATTTTAAAAATCTAAAGATCAATGACAAGATCACCAAAGATCTTAAATTTTTTTGAAAGTTATTAGCTCCAAGAGTTACTCTAAGCTGTTTAGCAACACTTTACAATGAACTTGTCGCTCAAGAGACTCAAATAAAATAAAAAAATTATCATACTCATTTCTTTGCTTCAAAATGAAAGGTTGTAAATACAGTATTAATATTCAAAGTTTACTCTTGAAAGTTTTTCTAGTCATGGTTATTGTAGATGTACAGCTTTGACATCAACTTCTTGTTTATAACCGTAGTCTTCCATAGAAGATTGTCACCAAGTCCATTGTATTTGACTATGTAATATCATGCTACTCAAGACTTCATGGTTGTAATCTCATTTTGCCAAATCCTTGATGTAATTCTTTGTTTTGTATTTGCAAACGGATCTTCTTTTGGAGTCATATAACTGAAACTTTAAAAATTTATGTTACACAGTCACATAATATTATTACCTTGTTGGTGTAAGAAGAATGAATTGATTACCTCTTGCTTGAGTTTTATAGCAGGAGAAGCTCTTGTGTGCATCAAAGAAGTTTTGACAAACTTTGAAACGAAACAATCTAAGATACAAATCCGTACTCAAGAGCATGGGACAAACCTGCACTCGAACTTAGAATTGCATCTCTTTCAACAAGTTGCAGTGACCATTGTATAAGAAATGGTCGATAATGAATCCTTCGAAGCTTTCACAAATACAGCAACATTTTTTCCAAGTTTTGCCCACTATATTCAGCTCTTCAACTAGATTTTATATCACAACAGTATCTGCATCTCTAATACTGATAATTTTTTTGAAATCTTGGTCCTGTCGAGTTGATGAAACTTCTGCCGCCTGCTCAACATGAACACCGACTTTCCTTATTGAAAGTCTCTTTTCAACACCTTGCCTGAGAGTGTAGTGTCTCAATCTTCTCTATTATCTCACAATCTACAACCTTAGGTAATGACTATACATTGAAAGCAACAAATTTTGGTAGAGCAATCTTCGAAGGTTATTGGAAAGCTTTGTCACTGAAACATTGATTGACATGATTCAAATTTATCATTTAACATACTTATTAATATTTATATATGTACGAACACATCAAATATTTATATTTGATGTGTTCGTACATGGCCCGATGTTACATCTTGAGTTTGATACTTGTACCGCTTGATGGCGTCTTCCGGACTTTATGTTATTATATTGTGTTCACCATTAACACCGATTTTTTCAGAATTTGCATTCAAAAGTCGTAATACCTCAGTTTCACATGTGACGATCGCGACTACCTTAATATCTCTCCCTCATATTCCTTTCAATGTGTCGGCTAGCTTTACGCAAAGTTAGGCGCCTCTGGTGAGTTTCAGAACTCAAGAAGATGGTGTGGATTTCTAACTTCACATAAACACATCACAATACGTACTAATATAAATGATGGGATCAAAGATGAAACATTTTGTACAGATAACATAAGACTAGTCATCAGCTAAAGATTTCTCTATATAACTGGGTCTCTCCCAGGACGACTTCCTCTGTCAACAGGATCAACCATCGTCCAAGAGAACCGAGTCTAAGTTCACAGGTCGTGTGAACAGTACTCTTGACATAGTAAACCCTAAACCCTTTCTCAGAAAGGGTTTGATCTACTGGACTCACTCCATAGAAGAGAAGATCGCAGATGTGAACAAGTAAAAACGTTTGATGTTACCTCAATGTGATGGCAAGTATCCCAGAAGTCTAAGCCCTACGACCAAACGATACACATCTGAAGGAGCCTCTAGTAATCTGCTCACCTCGACTACAGTGTCGTGTCGAGGTCGAGATGCACAATATATGAAATCTTCCGACAACCCATCAAGCAAAGAAAAAGAAATGATCGATAACGTAGCTGAAGTGCAAGAGGACATGAATGACATGGATTAATTCCATTATATTAACGGTTTAGTTGAAGGCCGGAGGACTACTTCTCGGAACAAAACAGAGCAAGCATGGTATGTCTCAAATATGGCTCCTTCGCAAAGACAGCAACAAAGTCTACTGATTGACGAAGAAATTGTAAGTGCAATTCAGAAGATGTCCACTCTCCTTTGCACTCGGTCCCATTGAAGCTCAAGAGTCTGCTCACACAACGGTATTAAGCTCTGCGCTTTGATTTGAATAACTTTACAATACTTTTAGCATCAGGCGTAAACAATCAATACATCGCAGCTCGTCTCGGCTTCAAGAAAAAGGTTCCTATGCCCCTAGCCCAGGGTTTGTTAAACAGAGATCACTTCAGATCCTACGGGCGAAGTCGAAGATCAACGAATCTTTAAATTCAAGAAACTACAAATCGTGTTCCTGGCCGGCAAAATCAAGGCGGCGACATATTTCCGAGGCATAAATATTTCATCTGCACCAAGAAGCACCCGCAAATATCCCATCATTGTCAAATCAAGGCACGTAACTCAGATCTCAGAAAATTCCTTCTGCCTCATCGATAAGTACTTTCAAACATCCTAGAAAAGGGAGCAAACCGACAAAAACGTTAAACTAAACCCTAGCCATAAACTAAACCAGCGAGAGAATCTTCTGAACTATTACAGTCCCAAGTTCTAACATGTCTTCCCTTATAAATATCAAAGTAGACTTTCCAGGGCTTTCCGATTGAGAATATACAATAAGTATATGTTTAACCGAAGAAGAACTTTTTGTGATACTGACCTCAAGATATTCGTCAAGACCATACTTTGAGCCCTCCCGACCAAGCCCAGATTGCTTCATACCACCAAAAGGAGCCACCTACGTGAATATAGAGAAAATGATCAGTCGTGGACGTGAAGACCTTTTCAGTTCCGTAAAGAATCTCTAAAAACTTGATCGTACCGAAGGTAAGTCCACAACTTTCACATGAAGAGGGAAACCATGGAGGACAGGAAAGTCAAATCGATCACACTGAGGAAGCAGACAGATATTATGAGTGAAATCGCGTGCTTCAGACGATTCATCTCGATATAATAGACTCGATTACCTCCGTCGAAATTAGACCCTCATTGAGACCAACCATGCCGTACTCTAAAGCCTCTGCGATGCGCCAGCCCCTTGTAATATTCTCCGTGAAAATGTATGAAGCAAGACCTGAGGATTTTCAAGCTACTCGTCTCAGGAGATCTCCAAATCTATGGTAACCTTTTAACATAAAAAATCAGAAGGTAACGGGCTGATAAAAACTATGCCACCTAAAAAAATTTATAGCCCACATGTCTTATAAGGTAGGAGCCAGGTTTTCTTTTTCCTACTTTGTGAGCAGGAAATATATGATAAAACCTCACTTCTTCGACTGCGGACAGAAAATAAAAGTGTGATAGAGTGGAATTCAGTATTATAACTTGAGCCTCACGGAAATGAAAAGATTTGGCATATATTTTGCATAAGTTGTTAAGTTGACCTACCAAACTCAGTGTCGTTTGCCATTGCGACTGCTTCTTTGTCATCTTTGAACCTGATGAGAGGTGCCACTGGACCAAAAACTTCCTCGCTGAAACAAAAAATATGATATCGTTAGCAATATGGGTTGTTGGGAGTCATAAGGCTAACTTCTACGTCCTCTTTGCTCAGATCTGAGACAGAGAAGGTAAGTCAGGTTTTCTTAGCTTAGAAGGCGCTTACCTGAATATTCTCATATCCACAGTTGCATCTGCTAAAACAGTGGGCTCGTAAAATGTGCGGCCCAAACTGTGCTTTTTACCCCCGGTGAGGACCTTTGCTCCCTGTCATATTGGAGGCCAAGCACAACACCCTGAGGGACTGCAATATAGAGCTAAAACGGAACACCAAGAGAAGCGAGTGTTCCGAACTTCTCAGTTGGAAATGCTACAGAGACCAGGTCAGACATAGACAAGCTGAGCCACATAGTCTCGGGTGATGTATAATCCTGCCATCCACTAAAGAGATCAAGGAAGCACCAGACCGACTAAGACACAGGGTGCACCGAAAAAAAAGGAGGCCAGGATTACCTTTGCAACAGCATCTTCAACGTGAGATTCTACCTGGCGATCAAAGGAGGACACTCATTTAGGATCAGGAGAATTTCTTTATCTATAAATACGGTCAAACAATAAAGAACCACAATTCAAAGCACAATAAAAGACAATGAACACACCCTTCGAGCTCCACCACAAACTATGTACATTTTGTTATAGGTCAAAACATCATATTGTTCCATACCTTCACCACGGCGGCTGGATTGATCAAAGGACCCTATTGAGAAGATACAAGAAACAAAATAAGTATGCCATGCTGTTTAGTAAGTAGCAATTAAACGGATACGAAATAAACTTTGAGACCAAAAAGACACACTTGAGTAACGCCTTCGTCCAATCCATTTCCAACTTGTAGTTGGGAGACAGCTAGCGCAAAGGCCTTCGCAAACTCCGCATAGATCCCTGCATTTCCGTGTTTCAAATCCTTCAGCATAGTCATTCGTATGAAATGGTTTCCGGAGAGTGCACACACCTCCCTTGAGAATCCGATAGAAATATACACACAGAATCGCGTACCATACTCGACAAACAAAGTGTACAAACAAAAAGTATCGAAACCCCAAGGGAGACATCATGTATCCAAGTAAGCTTCTATTCTTTTTCCTAACCAAGTGTTCTGTACTTAAGCACGTCTTAAGATGTAGGTGTCCTTACCGTCTTGCACAAAGATTCTGTTCACACAAACACAAGTCTGGCCGCTATTCCGGTACTTTGCAGCCAGCTGCATCATTAAAAGCAGGATTGAAGTTCACAGAGAGATCTTTCGTTTGCATCATACCGAAGCCCCCAGGGCGAGCCCCGGTAATCGTACGCTCGATCGGAAATCCACATACTATTAAGACTTCACCAGAGGCATTAGGTCAAAGGTTTTATACATGTCAACACTATGATTTTCTAGTGGACAAAACTGACCAAACAAAACTGACAGAACTGAAACAAAACTGACCCTTTGGCAAAAAGAGGAGAAAAAAATATCTGTTAGAGAGAGCAAAATATTATACTTAGCAGAGAAGGGGAGGTAAACTTACAAATGTTCGCTTAGCACTACCAAGACCTAAAACGTACTAATTAGAAAAAGGATCTCGAACGTCCACTCGAAACGAAACGTGACCAGTAGTTATCAATGTAAGGTATCTTCGAACAGAAATTTAAGAAACTGACGTGCATTGCAATTTGAAGAGCCCAGTTCGAACCAAAATAGACATACAAACTGAATGAACAAGGGCTTACCGCGCCTTTGACAGCTAAGTCGATGTTGGCGTCGTCAAATATTATACAAGGGGCATTACCACCTAGCTCCAAGGATACCTGCAGATCAAATCCAGTTAATGATCTACCTTAAGACACCCCTAACGCCAATGCATTAGTCTAAACAGCCTCAAGTTGTATGAAGCCTACCTTCTTGACCGTCGCCGCAGAGCCTTCCATCAACTTCTTCCCGATTTGAGTTGACCCTGTGAAGGTGATTTTACGGACCTGACAAGAAACACGATCAGACTAAACCCTGAACCCCTTACGCTCACATTCGGACATTTTGACATCAACAAAGAGGGAAAATTTCATTTAGATAAGTTGATAATTTCCAAGGAGGAAATACTAACAAAGAATCTTGCAAGGTTGCAAGAATTTCATCCATAGCTTCATAAATGGCGTACATCATTGAGGTAGTTATTGCGAAATAAATTTAACCTTCATACCCTGGTACTTTCTAACAGTGCAGCTCCAATCTGAGGAGCATCTCCTGTCACGATATTCAGAACGCCCTGAGAGAAAAACATACAATTTGTGAAAGAAAGCGAAAAGAGCCTACAGATTAACGCAAATTTATGAAACTGTTCTGCTTGTCTATCCAAGGCCAGAACTTAACTGCAGGTATTCCTGCTTCAACCGCCAGCTTTGCTGCTGCCATAGCACTCAGAGGCGTGAACTCTGACGGTTTGACAATAATTGTACAACCAGCAGCGAGTGCTGGTGCTACCTGAATATGTCACAAGCAGTTAGAAATCAAGTATATAGACGCGTTGAATGGAATCTACAAGCAGTAAAAACTGAAATATAGTGAACACACCAGGCAACACACATTTGAGTGAACCATTTCGCTATTACTCAGTAACAAAATACAACTTAGATTTTGAATCACATTTCAGTAGAAGAGGAAATTCAATGCTTCTCCAATCTCCAATTAGCGAGTGCTCCAAATAGTCCTCAAAGGCTCCTGACCTTCCTTGTAATCATGGCAAGCGGAAAATTCCATGGTGTTATTGCTCCAACCACACCAACAGGCTGCCACCAACAGGATTAACAAGCCTTATTATCACGACGATAGTGATGAACTCGAATGTCCAGACTATCCTCTCCAATATAACATGAAAAATTCACAAAGCAAAAAAGATTGGATCCCGGACAAAGCGGAAAGTGTATGAAGTCCCCAGTAAATTGAAAACAGAGCGAAGAAGATGTCCTTGGAAGCAAGTGATTGTCACCATCTCGGTCCCAAGTATGAAAAGCGAATGCAAGACATCGGCAACTTCTGGTTAAACCTTACCTGCCGCAAGACAAATATACGTTTGTCCTGAGTTGTTGCAGGAATAATATCTCCATAAATACGCTTTGCCTCTTCAGCATATAACTCGACAAATCCGGCAGCATAAACAATCTGTTATCTGTTAGAGTTTATTCAATATTTATTTTATTTTTGCGTGTTAAAACACAAAAATGCTGTGCCCGAGCCCAAAAAACGTCGGTATGACGACGTATGAAAAGAAATTCTCGACCTTAATCTGGACATTTGGAATGGTGCAAGGAAGAGGACAAAACCGAAGTACCTCTCCGAGAGCTTCTTTCAGCGGCTTCCCTTGCTCCAAAGTCATCAATCGACCCAGCTCCTCTTTGTTTTGTATCAAGAGATCAAACCTTAGCCAAAATTATCATAACCAGGGTCCATGTCAGATAATGTAAGCAGTTTGGATAGGCTTTATGTTGCATGCATACAAAGACGGCATACTCGGTGCTTTGGTCGGTTACGAGTCCACTAACATGTCTTTTTGTTAAGTGGATGTTGCCAAACAAGTACAATTGATGACAGCTGAGATATTTAAGATACTAGACCAGCTTTTGAAAGTGATAAAGCTCACCACTTGCGCAACAGCTTGCTTCGTTCTGTGTTCGTTTTCTGGCTCCAAGCTGAATTCACAAAAATCGATCCTCATAATATATATGGACTGCGAAACGCAAGAGCTACAAAACTGGGATAGATACTATCGAGGGTCAGAAAAAAAAACCCCCTGTTGTATTGTAACTCACCAGTCATAACGCGAAAAGAAAAATAGAACTCGTTTCAATAGAACAGGCAGAAATTCTGTGTCATCTATCCTTTTTTCTGACTTCTGCCATTATGTCAGAACTGAAGTAGATGGTGAGAATTCAGTGACTGGAATGATAGCACTACGATCTGCAGACTAATATGCAGATCAGATTCAGTTACCGGGAAAGGCTTCATGGGCAGCGGTGATGGCCAACTCTGTTTCTTTCCGCCCCATAAATGGAACACTTGTGAGAAGCTCCCCGGTTGCAGGATTGGTTACCTAGAAGACGGATAACGTGAAATCATCAGCTGACTTTAGAGTGAGGTTCTCATCAGAACTACAATATGTTCCGACCGCCAAGATGTTCACCTAAGCAATAATGGTCACAGTTTTAGACTGTGAATTTGAGCAGATTGAACATCTTCGGCACTGGAATAATTCATTTCCACCTCGTCAAATCTTAGCTGTAGTTTGACCAAAACCCTGCCTCAGCACATATGTCAATACAGCCAGTGGCACGGGTGAAAGCCTGTAATAATCCAGAAAACATTCAGAACGAAAAAACTAGGCTATACATCAAACTTGCATGACCGGGCAGAGAGGAAACTCAACGTTTAATGTACGACCATCGATGGCATCGCACCATTTATCTCCAATCAGTGCTCTAGAAAGAAGAAGTCCGGCATCTTTCAGTTTTTTGGCAGCCACATGAGAATTCGAGTGCGCCACTGTACCCATCTACAACAAGGATAGCAACAAAGATGCTTCTGGATTTCAGGATTTCCAATTCCTTGTGTTTGCAACGAACAATCTTTCTCCCAATGATCTAAAAGGTAAATTTGAACTCCACTGAAAAAGACTTGACGAACAAAGCGAGATACCAACACCTTCACTGAATGGTGAGTCGCAACGTATGTTACGTAAAGCCACACGAGAATATGTATGATAATAAATTCGTTGACACAAAAGGACGGAATGATTAGTGCAGAGATTTTACGATCTCTGCAGTTAATGTAGCAGTAGGCGACTCAGCTCTTCTCGATAAAACCACGAAAGTGGTGAACTTTCTAGCGTAACTTAAAAAGGATTGATAGACGCAAAGCCAATGAGCCAACAACAACAGCTGAGGAGTTGAACTTTTAGTATCATTATGGGAACAGGGCAGTATGACTGCGATAAAAGCACGGTAGGAAGCTCAATCAAAGTGAGTTCATCGAATCCCTTGTCTCTATCATCGATTCCACCAGAATCTGATAATAGAAGGAAAATTGTTGGAACTTGAGTCCAAGAATACTTCAATTGATTACAAACTGATGTGCGTGTCCCCGGCAAGAAGTAGCTACTGAGGTCATTCGGGCCACAATTTGTTGATTTCATCTCATTCAGCTTATCCCCTGTATCCACAGCTTAAAACTACATAATTCTAGGTGTGATGACCAAAGCAATCTAGATGAGGAGAATTATGAACAGAACTCCGATAGTGAGCAAGTACGAAGAATTCCGCACGTACCCTGCAACGACCGCGGGAACTCGCAAACGTGGAGTGTACTGAGATAGACGACAGTCCTCTACTGACGCGCCTTGCAAATACCAACATTGTGGCGTGACAGTAGTGTTATAAGTTCGAATGTATTTGGAGTTGACGTGGGATGTATTTGGAGCAGCTCCACTGATTTCCGCGGCTGAAGCACGGCCAAATCGAGTAATCTCCAGCTCAACGGTCTCAGACTAAGCAGCTTGGATTCACCTCGGACAGAACGACCAATCACAGAGGTCTAACGACAAATTTACTTGGTCCCTCCTCTGACATTATAGAGCATTGATTTCGTGGCCGTCAATACCTAATGCTTCAGCGAGCCGTCACTCCACTTTAAGATCAACCATTCCTTAGACGATTTATTACTCCATTCTTCTTGTGGCCGAATAAATATTTATCTGGCCAGCTTGGAACTCTCATGTCCGTCACCTACACAACAAGCCTCTCATCACAATTTTAGCTAGGATGACGAAGTAACAGCACAATGTTATTGAATTCCTTATTCGTTCCGATTTGCTTTTTGCCCCCAACGAGTAACCAGGAGCTCTCAGCCTGATATTCTCCGCTATTCCAGGATCCCATTCAACTAAGTTACACGCTCATCATTCAATCATGACCACGTCCATTGGCGTTGAGTATGTCCTTTTTTACTTCAAATCCTTCACCTTTCTCATGTCATGCACTCTTGTAACCATATGTATTTTATCCGACTTTCTTTCATATGCTTTTGCACTCTCGCGAATTTCTCATACCAACCAGAAATAATAATATGGTATTTGCCTAACAAGTCATCCTTAGAAATACCTCCTCTACTGTTCTAAAACTGAGGTTAATCTCACTTCGAAGACCATTAACGGTTAATGATCTTTTTAGGATTTAATGATTAACCTCAAAAAAACAAAAGAATAGAGCCGCCTATTAGAATTGGCTGTAAAGCTGTCAACTATGCACGCTACACGGATCACGGTTCAGGGGAAGGATTCAGTCAGCTGTAATGACACGTGTCAAATTCAAACAGAAACTTTGTACATACGTCACCAAGCTGTGCGACTGGATATACAAGAACGTCTCTTAATTCGTTGGCACAATAAGGATTCCTCTTAGAATTCCGGGGGAAGTGTAGTACAGCTTTGGCCGTGACGCTTCCCGATGTTGGCTTCGACCTCGTGGAATGCGACGTGACGATGTCGGAGAACCTCGAACAGGTGCATCCATCTGCTTTTTCTACCTCGTAATCGTTATGAGGACGCGCTCCGTGCCCATTTTACACTTCGAAATCCTGTAAAACCCTAGAAAGGCATGAACTCTGAGTTCAGGTGGGAGAAGAGCATGAAGCGCTTGGAAAAGGATATTGCCGGGGATATGTCAAACGGTGAACTGATGGTGATGCAAGTCCGAAAATGGCAACGCTGAGTGAAATGCTGTTGTCATGGCAGCTGTCGCACATCATCGTGTGGAGCTGCGTCGTGCTATCCGCCAGCTCCGAGACCGTGGACTCTACTCTGCTGCGAAATGGTTTGTCATCTTCACTTACAGTTCTCTTAACAACGTAAAAGCTGAGATTTTCTCCCTCAAAGAATACATCCCTTGAGAGGGAGTCTGAAGTAACCCAAGATGTTTTCTTCCATTTTCAGTCTCCGCTGACTCATGTGTTCATGGAACCGAAAGGAAGAAAGAGTCTTTGTTCTTCCTGAATTCACACCTCTGCCCAGACTGTTTTACTTCGACTTGGGTCCTTTTAGTATGCTTGTATTCCTGATGCGAACACGTAATAGTGAATGCTGAGGAATGATGGAGCCCATTGTGCTTGATCGTATTTCTATAAACACCAGAGTGGTATGTGCCTTTGAAAATGAGTTCCATTTTGTGCACTTTTGCAAACGAGTAAATCTTCCCCAGATTTTTCTGATTGATATCTTTATCGTCCGTACTTCCGTAGTGTTGCATTTACCTTGTTCTCGTACTCTCGTGTAGGACAGATGTGCCCCAAGCCGTGTATATCTGTTACTCTCAAATCCGTAATATGGATAGTGATGTATTTGTCAATCCGTATCATGGCTGATCGATAATAGATGGAAATTGCGCAGGGCTGCCGAACAGCTTGTTGGGTTACCTGAGGAGACAGAGACAGAGAAACTTGCTTTGAAGAGACCGTTTAGAAGGAAAGAAGTTGCTGGTCAATCTAGTTCTGGAGGAGTTATTTCTTCTCGCGATGACGAAGAAGATGATGATGACGATATTCTCTCATTGGCAAAGTCCTTTTTCGATGTGCGAGAGTACAGGAGAGCTGCTCACGCTCTTCGCGGAGTTGCAGGCCAAAAGGCTGTCTTTTTGAGATGCTACGCCACTTACCTGGTTTGTCTATCACATACTGCTTGTGCTTTTCTACAGTACCTTTTGACTATGCCGTCTGCTCGTATGCATGTAGTTGTTCTTTCTTGGTTACAGCTAGAGCGCGTTCTTCTTGTCCAATCGTTATGAGACGTCTTGATTTTTAAAATTGGAATTGGCTTTGATTTCGAACTTTCCAGTATGGCGAGAAGAGGAAGGAGGAAGAAATTGTCGAACTTGCTGGACCCTTGGGAAGGAGTGATGCTGTCAATGAGGAGCTGGTTGCATTGGAGCACGAGCTTTCAGCATTGTACACCAAAGGAGTTTTGGATGCCTTTGGGAGCTACTTGTACGGGGTGATCTTACACGAACGGGAAAGAAAGGTGGAGGCACGCGCTGCCCTATGTTCGTCTGTTAATGCGTATCCGTGGAACTGGAGCGCTTGGCTTGAGCTGCAAGCCCTGTGTACAGATCCTGACATTTTACCCCAACTGAACTTGAACGATCATTGGATGCGTGACTTTTTTGTAGCTAGTGTACACTTAGACTTGCATAGAAACTCGGATGGGTTGGCCCGCTATCGGGCTCTTCACGTTACATTTCCTAGGAGTGACCACATTTTGGCACAAACTGCGACTGCTCACTATAATCTACGTGAGTTTGATGAAGCAGAGAGTCTCTTTGAGGAGCTTTTACGTACAGACCCGTTCAGAATCGAGGGCCTAGATACGTACTCTAACATTTTGTATGTGAAGGAATGTTTTGCTGCTCTCAGTTTTCTTGCTCACAAAGCTGTACTTACTGATAAATATCGTCCTGAGACATGTTGTATAATCGGAAACTATTACAGCTTGAAAGCCCAGCATGAGAAAGCTGTCTTATACTTCAAGAGAGCCTTGAAACTGAATCGAAAGTATTTGTCAGCATGGACTCTTATGGGACATGAATATGTAGAGCTAAAAAATACCCCTGCTGCTATAGATGCATATCGCAGAGCAGTAGATATCAATCCTCGGGATTACCGGGCGTGGTACGGGCTTGGCCAGACATACGAACTGCTTGTCATGCCTTACTATGCTCTTTATTACTATCGGCGAGCAACTCAGCTGAGACCACATGATGCCCGCATGTGGTGTGCAATGGGGCAGTGCTACGAGAACGAACAGCTATTGATGCATGATGCAGCCATCCGATGTTACAGAAGAGCTGTAACGAACAATGATCGTGAAGGCATTGCACTGCATAAGCTAGCGAAGTTGCATCATCAATTGGGACAAGCCGATCAAGCTGCTTTTTATTATCAGAAAAATCTGGAGCGAATGGAGGCAGATCAAAATGAGGGCCAGGACATAGTGGAGGCATTACTTTTCTTGGCCACTCACTTTAAGAATCAGAACAGGCTTGAAGAAGCTGAGCACTATTGCACAAGACTGCTTGACTATGGAGGCCCGGTATGATTTCCAATTAACTGTTGTATTTGAACTTTCAGTCATTCTTCGTCTTTGGCTGCACAAGAACAAAATCTCCACAGTGCTGTCATTTCAGGGTGTTTGATTCATACTTCTGTAAGTGGATCAACGATCCAACCTAAGTTCTGGCTTTGCTGTACAATAAGAAGATAATTATTAAGTTGCAACTTCAAAACCTTTGAACCCTTTGAATTTGACGCTCGTCTGTGCTAATTCTCTTGTTCTGCTTTATGTAACAGGCCAAGGAAGACGCAAAGGCTTTGCTTAGAGAAATCCGGAGTGTACAACAGCATGCAGCAACCCTCCCCTCCATGGATTTGGAGCAATTTACTCCAGAATAGGTCAATGTTTACTCGTTAAGGAGATAGTGAATATATTGTGTTGGTTTGTTCCTGGGGTTAATTGTACCATGTAATTTGCCAACTCGATGTGTCAAATCACCTGTAGAATGGGTTTTTGTCCAGGTGGGTTAGCTAGACCTCACCCTGATTTGAAAAGAGTCTGTTTATCACTTCTTCATATAGATAGGGAGATTTGCTGGGACTAAAAGCAGCCACCCACAGGCTTATCAATTGAAGGTCAGTTTCGTTCTTAGCTTTCTGAAGACTCATTCTTATATTCATGTCATTGTGACCTCAGGATCAGCTCGCTGAGTATGGCAGGCCCATTTTTCTGCTCCCCTGGCACTAAAGTGGTTCATTGTATGATGATCGTCCAATTTTGATCATGGCTCCACCCTAGTGCTTGTAGACCTTTGCCTCTGCTGGCGAGAGTTTTGAAGGTCTGCGGTCTTGTGCAGAAACGGAAAGCCTTTGGCATTACCTTCTTCTCGAAGGTTTTCGGTGAATGAAGATGACGTGCGAATACAAGCACGATCGATGCTTTCAAGGACCCGGACATAGAATATCTGTGGCAAATATTTTCAAGAGCAGGTCAAGGAAAGTTGAGATTGCACGTCTGTGCTTCGCCTGTGTTTAAGATCCTGGCAATGTCATAGATGACTCATTTGTCGATGAATCGAAACAATTATGCTTGTTCGTACACTAGAAAGTGCACGTCAGCGCCGTTCACCAATACAACTGGCGAAACGCCGCCCGGAGTTCTTTCCCTTCAAAGCGAATTGCGGAACAAGACTTTTGTTCCTAAGCACGTCATGTAGAAGTGAAGGCGTACTCCAGCACACACCACAGACGAGACGACTTGGCACGACTCGTCTAGCCAAGTCGTGCTTCGACAAAAGCTAGATCGTACTGGTTAGTATAGTACGTGAGATCTGACCAGAAGGGTGTATTGATCAGGTCGCAGTGAAGGGAGCACCTTGCCAAGAGAATTCCCTTACCTGTGATTGATGTCATCGTTCAATTTGCAGGTTTACTTGATTAAAACTCACAAAAGACATCGGAGCAAATAGCTCTTTTTATGTGAATGGACATATGCTTTGAGTGGTTGTCTTGAGTTTCCGCCCATTCCCGCGAAGATTGAAGTCTGACAGTATGGAGTGCACCTTTGTCTTGGGATCCCCGTGTGTTTCTGCCATTGCCTCTCTCGTGTTACCATATCCTCGAAACTGCCTCTCTTTCTTACCCAGAGGTTTCTTTCTGACCTTGAGTGATCAATTCGCTTTCTTTTCTACATTCATCGATATTAGCGCATTTACATTCGAACAAAACCATAAATTATCTGGAAACAGACGCCCCAGAACCTTTAATTTCCAGATGTCGAGACGACGGCCGGAAGTTCCCAGAGACTGTCTGCATCACGATTGAGCGTCTTTTGTTTCTGCTGAAAAAGAACTCGATTAAAAGTATTGAAATGCGCTCATACGTTGTGTCCACCACATCACTTGCTTTCCCGGTATTTAGCCACAGCAATCTTCCTCAATCGTTTTGTGCCGGTATATCTGTAATACTCTGACAAAGATTGTGTAGAACACTTTATAGAACAGAGGAATGTGCGAAGGTAGTCTGAACGCTAATCTTATACCTGTGTTGCGCACTGGGAAAACCGAGAAACCCTTCACGAAACGAGCAAAGGCCTAACTATTCCGTGCCGAAGCACTAACTCCGGTGGTGCACGTGAGTTTCATTTATCTCGCACATGCCCCCATCGTCACAGTGGGCACCGACTACGGAAGACATGTCTCAAGATAGGAATATCATCCTCATAAACATGGCCAGGAGAGCCGCAGACAAACTTACGCAGGTAATGATGGAGGTTGGCATTTTCAAATGCCCGCGAGAAAATACCGCTGGCTCTGTAACGGAAATGTGAAATGAGCATACATGCAGTCTGTTCACAACCCGTATTTCCTTCGGCGACGATAAATCTGAACTCGGGGTTTTACGGATCTCATGCGAGGCCTACAAGATGACTTACGAACCTACTAGAGCAGTCTGTAAAAGCGGATGCTCTCAAGCAGAACCTCAGGGACTTTATAACAGGATGCGGTGTTTTGTTGGAACACATCATCGCTACAACGACTATTTTACACAAAGTCAGTACGTTTTTACTCCTCAGCCCCGTTTACACATGAACCATCTCCGGTTCAGAAGTGAGGAAATTGCAGACAAACTCGGTACATGAGCTTGAATTGCACCTGAGAACATCCTTGCATTGTGATGATACATCTACCGGTGTACACTGGATCGGTATAATACACGTGGCTATTTTGGCTTCATTATAATTTGTCGGCATATTCTACGGGGCAGCCCAGCTTTGGGAATGGGCAAAAAGCAGTCAAGATTTACGAACCCAGCAATGTTGTGAAAAGTAAAAATAAGAGACTAACGATCTACACGTTCAGAACACTTGCACTCATCGTACAAGTGAGAACGGTCAGGCGGAGAATCTCCCTGTAGTCACTGACAACGGAACGAGCTGAAGACATTGCTGCGCATAACAGGTTGGAAGAGAAATATATATGACCGTTGCCGCCTATCCGACGCTTTATTCATACCTGTGCCGCTGAGAGTCCGACCCCTCGCCCTTCTGACCGTTGGTCTTTTGCACTCAAATGCAGGTAGTTTTTAGCTCTGCAGCTAATCGAATCAAGGGTCGAATCAGAAACCTTTTTAATAACACCTCCACTTCAATCATGCAAATATTTCAGACAGCCCTGTAGTACCGTATGTGCTTATCACGGAGCTGAATCTTCGTACAAAGAAGTGCTCCCGAAAGTGTATACGGACATATACATATGTCGTGAAATTGTATCTCTTCCTACCGTAACAGAAGAAGCTCAAATATGTTGGGACAACACTGTACACCATTGGCTCACATACAGTACTGTACTCATCAAGTCCTCCACATACCAGTTGCCCACGCTAGGTGATGATCGTATGCAGTAGAATAACAAAAAGGATAGGGAGATAGCTCCAAGTCCGGAACTGAACAACAATGAGGTCAATCAGGAACCAAAATAAACCCTGCAATATCAGCTATTTTATACTCTGACCTCCTTATCATTACAAATTTACATTCCTAATTTTTATATGTTTTCCTTCTCACTTTCATGCCTATCTGATTTTGTTGGCTTATGTACTAGGAGAGATTGTAGCATGTAGGATGTCTCTTGCGTAAGGTACTAAGTCATTAAATTATATTTGAAGAATCTCTTCTATTCTCTACTTGTTAACCAGAGCAATGACGTGAAGAATCTTTGGTTCTGTCGAATTCAAAATAAGAATCAAATTAATTTTCAAATACTCTCTACATGCGAAATCCCATACTCGATAGAAAAATATGCTAATACGAACGGAAAAATACTCAATTTTATTTTCAATTAACCAGTTTTCATCCTAGTCCGATGTGGAATATCTCCACAATTCAAAAGTTTCCGTTGATGTCATCGTGACTCTGAATTAAGTTTGGATTTCCATTTCAAATAAACAGAAACTATAAAAATCTTGAAATTTAACCCCCCAAATCAACGATATATATTAGCTAAATTCCAAAATTTAGCTAATTTTTCAATATTTGCAAAGATAAGATATGTATTAATATTTATCTTATGTTTTATTAAAAAACATCAACTTGATTTGCTGTTGAACGTAATAATATATGCACTGTCTTTACCTAAAACATAAAAAAATTCAGGGATTAACTTAATCATTTTGATATCCTACACTTTAATAATTTGACATAATTAAAACACCATGCGTCAAATATATACGTCAGTCAAACTTTTCAATCGTTTCAATTTGATTAAGTTTAAAATTTTTCTTAAGTATTGATATTATTTCGAACTTCTACTTTATATTTTTTGCACTTTTTAAAAAACCAGCTGGGTAACGCATTCAATTAAAAAAATCAATGAAAAAAATTTAATTATTAAAGCGTAAATAAGATAAATTTTTTATAATATATTTATCTTGAAAACAGCATGTAAATCTGTAACACGCTTGATACCACATTCCACGTTTACATGTGATAGTGTAATTTATGTGAAAAATAATAATATACATTGATATACGCATACTTCTCATGTAAACGCTTTTTAATTCAGAAGAAATTAAATTGCTTTTACATGTTGTGATGATCACTTTGCAACAAAATTGAAATACTAATTAATTCAGTTCTGAATTTCACGACATCTTATGATATATCTTGATGTCTGCAGCAGAGTTTTAGATAAGTTGATGATTAATGTCATATGACCGAAAAACAAGATATCGTATCATCAGCTGATTTTAATAAAAAATATTAAATGTAAATGATGTCAGTAAAAAAAATTATAAGAGGCATGAAAAAAAATATAAAATATATATTGAAGAACTTAATGGATTGATTGTATTGGCAAGAATTTGGAATTTTTTTTTTTTATTCTTTGACCCTATACCCTATCCCTTAATTCTTTTTAAGATATTACGCATATGGGAGAAGCTTTGTCATTATTTAGAGCATTTCCAAATATTAAATAAATAATTGCTGAATTAAAGAAGGTTTCTCATTTGTACAAGCTTGCAAAATAACTTATACAATTCGGCATCTCTAGAGTTCATCCTTCGAGTATTATAATTAACTAGTTGTGTATATTTGCACCTTGTGTTCAGCCCAACTTGTCAATGTGTTTGGAAATTACCAGGAAAAACAATTTTACCAAATTAACCCTGTAGTTTTCAGCAAGTTTGATATATGTAGACGCGTCATGTAACGGCGATCAGCAATAAGTTTACAAGCAACTATGCAGGGCTCACGCTTGGCTTTCAACGTTGAAAACATGGTAGCAATGGTTCAGTATGAAGGCGTCGGTTGTTATACATTTCAAGATAAAAGAGAAGTATGAGAATCGCGTTTTTTTGTGTGTTAGGCCACTAGACTAACTTTTGAGGTCTACTTGATGTTGTGCATGTACCTTTCGAGATATTCTACTACCCTCACACCATATATTGTTCAACACCAGGTATCTACTACTCCTTCCTCACGGTTTGCAATGCGACGAGAATCCACTATCGCTAGACTTGACCAGACAGGTGAAAGGATGCGTTCACAATCTGATCTAAAATACAACAAAACTCAACAAAGATCAACTGGTTCGAATACGACAAATTCAGAAAAAGCAACTCTGAACGTTACAACGTGAGTCCAAAATCAATTTCGGTGTTAACCTTTTACTTCAATACTATACCAGCAATAATAGCCCGATCGCACATCCGACCATGGTGGATAAGACAGCTTTGTTGGTATCAACAACAAACAAGAGAGAAATACAAAACTAGCCAGGTATGTAGAACATAAACAGGTCCCACTCCTATTGAACTGATTGATCTCTCCTATGACCCACCATCCGATTCATAATGCACTCATATGCAGATTGGTTTATAAGCGAGTGATTATTTTTTGTTAAGGCTATTTGAACATGAGTTATTTTCTCAATCAGGGCATGTTCGACTAAATAATGCTTTATGTTTCCTTCCTTTCGGTGATAAAGCTAGAAAGGAGAGGCAAAAGTTGTAGAGTAGGTATAGGATAGCCTTTGAAACAAGGATCGAAGAATGGCCCGCAAAAATGCTAAGACCACAAAAGAAGAAGGAATAAATAGGTCCCAATGTGCTAATGGCTTTGAGACATATTTGGTGGGGCTTCCAGCTTTTAAATCTATATTCAGAGAAAAATGGGCTAAACAACGGGAGAGTCAAAAAATATAAAGTATGGTGTCCATTATTGGTGGGGCTCCTGCATGCTGCTTATATTCTTCAAGCATAATACAAACGGATTAGGTCACATGTGACCTCATGTTATCTTACATCTGATATTGACTCTGATAGTTTCCCTAACATACTGCTGTTGGGCTGAATGATGGAGGAACAATCAATCTTCAAAATACTTCTCTCTAATACAATCACAATGAAATCTGGGCTCATTTCGAACTTGCTTCTTTTCAAAACACTGACATTTCATTGATGCAAAATTGTTCCTAATTTCCTAGTGGTTAGGTTACTTTCATAAACCAATATTTACTACTCCTTTGATGCATACTAAATATTAATAAGTACTGAAACTATGGAGTTTATACACTAAGCATTACCTTCGTCCCTACTTATAGTAATTGCTCTTCGTACAAAGCCCACGTGCTCTGCGGTTCTTTCAAAAATGTCGATACTAGAGATTGGAAATTTGCGTTGCATCTGCAGTTTCCTGAAGTTTAGAACCTGCAGAGGTTCAGACTGTAGATTTAAACCCCTCCTAGATCGTCATGATATTCGCATTTGTCTTGTAAAAAATTAAGATCTATTTATGGATCATCAGAATGTATGAACACTTATGTTCCCAAATTGTCAACATATAGTACAGTTGCTTTACTTGTGACATAGTACACAAGACTTACTAAAAAAGCCTAACTCGGATTTCAACTCTTTATTTCCACAGCATTCATAATTAGAATCTTGTAATAAACAATTCGTGTTTGAAGTAATTTCTTAAAAGTTGAAAGCAAAATTTACAAATAAAGATAACAGAAGATTGGGATATTTAGTACCTTGAATAGCTTAACTGTTCTATGAAACATATGTTTAGAGTTGAGGTTTCTCACTCTAGCCATATCAAATTGATATCTTAGCTTGTCTTGTAGCTTGAGGAAATTTAGATCCTCTAGACTTCTATGTCAAGAGGTGTTTGACATGAGATCACAGTATCATGTGGTAATTTCACATGCTCACATTCTTACAACTTGTCTCATAGTTGCAGGTATATTCAACAGTGGATGAATTCAACAGAAGAGTCAATACAGCCTGGACTTCGTTCACTTCAGAGGAACTAGTTTCTGAATCAAGTTAACAAGAAACCTCTGAGTGTCCATCTCGCTCCCAATTTGCTCGAGACAGGAAATAAATTTACAGTGCAGCATCACAGCTCGAAAGGTTTATCCTGTGCCTGCATAGCTCCTGTTTCATATAAACTGTACAGTATCAAGTTGTTTAGCTTTCTTCAAGAGGATTAAAGAAATTTGACGAAAATCACCGTCGGTGTCCTAAGTTGGGCAAGGAGGGTCACCATGAATAAGGGAGAAATTTGATAAAGGTAACGGACAGGCAGATTGAGGGAATATAATGACCGTGTAACTGCAAACGGAAATCCAGTTTTCCTATTACAAGAGGGCACTAAAAATGTCAAAAAAAAATTGTCCTGTGGTGACGATTGTAGAGTGCAAAAGTGAAGGGGCTAGACTAGCACTGACAGGCTGGGTTGCTCTGTCTGTCTGACCGCTTACTGCTTCTCGCTTCGCCTGCTGTCTGTCTGTGCGTGTGCGGTGGTGAATGTTGGGTGTTTGTTTGCGGGTGTTAATAACTCATCTTACTCAACTTTCGTAGCACATCGCACGGTAGCCGTAACTGGCTAGCTGTTGCTTGCGACCCCTTCACTCGGACACAAAACAAACGCAACTCACTCATTCCTCAGTGGCTCGGCTTGACTCTAACCTGACTAACAGAGCTGGGATTGACCGCTGCCGGGCTAGCGTCGAGGAGCCAGTTCGTTCGTTCCAGTAGTGTCGGTCATATTTACTGTAGACAGGAAGAAGTCGAGGTATGTAACATTGACAGTGGGGGACGTTTGCCGTACCGAAGCTGTTGCGACCTCAGAGTGATTGAGAAGAAGGAGAAGGAGAAGGAGAGAGAGAGAGAGAGAGAGAGAGAGAGTGTGTTTGTGTGTTTGTGTGCGCGCGTATGTGTGTGTGTAAGCGAGAGAGAGACAGGTACAGTGTGTGCTCATTGCAAGTTGAGTATATGTTCGAGGACAGTCAGATCGGTGTTTCGAAGTGGATTCTGTCAATGTGTGAACGAATGAATATCTGAAACGATGTTTTGTGTCCAGCTGCCAATGGTGGGCGTTTCTCCATCGGCATTGTCTCCCTTTCGATTTCTGGTGCCGTCGGAGTGTTGCAGCAGCTGAGAAACTTATTTTTCCACACTAGCGAAGGAGTTTGGAACAGTCTTTACAACCATGCGCTGCACGCGCGCTTGTCACAGGAAGTCCGTCTCTTCACTTTGAGAGCTCTTCCGGCATCGACCATTGTACCGCAGCGCCGGTCCTCGGGGAGCGTTCAAACTAGCAGGATCCGTTGGACCCAAGAGACACGCGCAGTCAAACACGAGAGAGAGAGAGAGAGAGAGAGAGAGAGAGAGAGAGAGAGAGAGAGAGAGAGAGAGAGAGAGAGAGAGAGAGAGAGAGAGAGAGAGAGAGAGAGATGGCTGTCCCCACTGGAACCTCGCCTCCTCAAAAGACATTACAAGCAGCAGCACCTGAGTTCGATCCAGAAGCACCAGCTGTAGGTAAGAGACCTGGCCCATGGCCACCAAGAATGGAACCGCTACCACCTGACCACAGCTACAACCCAAGGGCGTTAGGGACATGGGCCCGTCGTACTGGTTACAAAAGCAATATGTCTGGGGAGAGTGCGAGCACAGCCAGTGATGTCGAAATCGGCTTGCCTGATAACACCGTCAATGGCAACATTCTTCCAAAGGGAGCGCAAGCTGATCAGTTGCCCAACAGAGATCTCGAGAATGGAGCACACGCCAATGGCCTTAAGGACCACGAGAGATTAAAGCCTCCTCCAGGTCTTGCTGCGACCGCTGTCTCACCCCACCCAGGTGGTATACCCCCTAATGCTGTGGTTTTCAATCCCCAAAAGGCAAGAGCAAGCTCTGATCCTGAAGTTATAAATGTTGTCCAAAACAGCGGACCTTTCCGCGCTGAGCCCGCCAGAGCTTACAAGCAGGACTCAGAGGTCGATATGATGTCTCAGTCTCAGGACGCCGACGACGCTCTTATGAACAAGCATTCCCACATGAAGTACGAAATCCGAGAAACTCCCGGACTCGGTGAGCAACCTCGTCAATTTTCTCTTCTACTTTCTGAATGTACTCTAGTACGAACACAGTCGTTGATAAGCGAAAGAGCAGAGCCCTCGTGCTACATTGGTCCTCTAGGAAATCAGTTTTCGACAAGACAGCTAGATAGATAGATAGGGCCATTACTTATTTAGACGGCCAGATTTTGTGAGGTTAGACACTGCTTGTTCATGTTTGCAGATTGGAGTTTGGCTGAAATAACATGAGTGATTGACGCTTATATTTAAACTGAAAGACAACCAAAACCGAGTGATGAACGGAAACTTCATCAAAGAGAGGACTGTACATTATCGAGATTATGCCAACGAGGAAGTTAGAGCTCTGGCTTTGTGATTTTTATTTGAGTCTCGCATGTAGTTTGTTTATGCTCCAGGAGTTGAAAAGCCTCCTCTCTCCTAGACTCGATAAGGTCATACTGAAACTGATGGGGGTTGTCGGGTTTTTTGCAGTGCCATTAGTTGTCTACGGTATACAACATTATTTCTCCATAGTGGGTTCTCTTATTCTTATCCCGCTTGTCATCGTTCCAGCTGCCGGCGGACAGGACGTAAGTTTAGAGTTGACTGATCTCTTGACCTATTCCTGTACTCAGTCTTTGGCCTGGCTCTTGAGCACACTGCTTGTTCACTTCGTCAAAAGTAAAGACCTGTTTCAGGACATTATGTTACCTCGTTTGAAGTTGGGAAGTCGGAGCTCCCTCTCCTCTGCCGAGCTGCAACATGCTCACTGGATGTCGTCAACTTGCAGGAGGATGTCGCGAAAGTCATCTCAACCATGCTAATGGTTTCGGGGATCTCTACATTGCTCCATTCTTTTTTTGGGTCCAGGTTGCCTCTTATACAAGGGGCATCATTCGTGTATCTGGCTCCAGCTTTGGCCATCATCTATTTGCCAAAGAATTTCTCGAGGCCTGCAGATGAGGTGAGATTAATGAGACTAATCAGGATGAGTCTCGAATATGTGTGGACATTCTCTTGATATCACATGCTTTGATTATCAGATCTGCGTGCATCTCTTTTTCCAGGACAGTAGCTAGCTCTAGTTAATAACATGTTCGAATATTACAAATCTTGTCGGCCTGAAAGCAGTACCTTGATACATAAAACCTCGATCTTCTAGACATCATTTTATGTAGTGTCAGGTTTGTTCAGTTCACTTACTTAAATTTGAGACTTAGTCGTCTGAGATCGAGACGCTGAGTGAATTTTTAAATAGTGGCCAAAGCTCGTCAAAAAATTCAGTTTCTTCGACTGAAATGTGCTCACCAAGTAAAACTACTCATTTTGAGCTGAAGCTTATTGCAGAGATTCAAGGATACGATGAGAGATCTGCAGGGCGCCGTGATCATCTCTTCGTTATTTCAGATAGTTGTTGGTTACAGTGGCTTGATGGCTCTTCTTCTTAGGTATTAACTTCATCCTTACTTAGCAGTCTTGGAATATGTCATTACGCAAATTTGGAATATTGTGAAATGTTCATTGTAGCTGTACAAAGTCCGTGTATATTTGTTATTCTGGGATGAGATCAGTAGATTTAACGTTTTCTTTAAGCCTTGACGATTATCAAGTAACCTCAATGTATATATCTGGAATAAATCCGATCCATCTAGTGGAGATTACCCGCCGTCATCTTTGTTTCTGCGTATCAGTAATGGTTTAGAATTGTCCTGGAGGGCAAGTACTCATCTGTCACTCTGCTAACGTGTAGGGCAATCAACCCGGTGGTGGTGGCTCCAACTGTCGCTGCAGTAGGACTAGCTTTCTTCACTTATGGCTTTCCTTACGTTGGAACTTGTGTAGAAATTGGAATCCCTCAGATTCTTGTGGTCCTCATTTTCGCACTGGTATGTTCCCGACGATCGCTTGAGTACACCTGCATTTTTGCGTTACCCTTGAGTGTAGAAAATAAGGGAAAATAAATTCTGCGTCAGCTTTTTGTCAGAAAGGTAACTCAGAAAGATAAATTGAACGAGCTCAAATTGGTTTATCTGTTTCATGTATATGTCCATGCAAACGTGCTGACTGATAGTTGTGGGGGCATGCAGTATCTGCGCAGGGTATCCATATTCGGTCACAAGATTTTCCAAGTATACGCGGTGAGTCTCTGATGCCCACATTTCTCTCCTTAATGAACACTTGTGAAGAAGCCATGTTTACGTCGGTCAACGCATTTTACTGTTAAACGTTCCTTTTAGGGATGTCTTCGTGTCCCACGTAGCAGTATGGTGCATAATTCCATTCTTGTTTCAACTCTTCACCTATTTCTACGTTACATATATTGTAGATTGTAAGTTTGCAATCTTTCCAGGCATGCGTGTCCCTGCCTCAATCTGTTGATTGAACCTCTGTATCTAAGTACATTTTCTCATATTTAGTAATCTCTTCCCTCCTCACCCCTCCAAATCCGCTATTCACCCTCTTTTGCCGTCGACTGACTTCTGGGGTGATTCAATTTAGTGGATTTAGGGAATAAATAACTACGTTGGACTTGAACATTTACTTCAGAACTTTTGATAGCTTTGCCTTCTGTCTATCCCCTGATTAGTCTAGTGGTGGGGTGGGGATATCTGGCGTGTGGTAAAATGATCCCCCCGTCTGAATTTTTGCTCTCGATATGAACTTTTACCGCACCTGAATTGTTGACTGAGAGATGAATTAAATTGTTCACTTCCCCTACTAACCATTTGGAATACAGGAGTCGAACGTGAAAGACTGATATCTGGTGAGTGCCGCTACAGGTACCTTTGGGTCTCGCTATTGTCTGGGCATACGCCTTTCTGCTGACGCAGACAGGTAAATACGACTACAAAGGCTGCAACCTTGATCATCCACCAAGGAATGGAACAGTAATCCTTCCATTTCCTGCCAACTGCACGGACCAGATATTTACGCAGACCCAATGTCGAACAGACATATCTCACGCTCTCTCCAAGTCTTCCTGGTTCCGAGTTCCATATCCTTTCCAATGGGGTTCCCCATCTTTCGACTGGAGGACAGGAGTCATTATGATTGCTGCATCAGTAATAGCATCCGTAGACTCGGTAATTTCTTCGAAACCTGCTGAAATTTTGTGTTGTCCTATGTTTCTCTTGACAATGTCTGTGAATTCATCCATATCTTTACTTGGCGTTCAATGGAAACACTCTGTTAGCACCTAGTTGATCTTCATCACAGTCGTTCTTTTGGTACATCGGAGAACTTGGAAGGATGGGCGTTTCTGTAAGTGGTTGGAATGTTCACCCTTGCTGTAATATAAATTTGTGGAACGCGTTCGTTCTCGTTGAAAGACAGAGCACATTACTTCATTTAGAACCTCAAAACTTCCGAACTGCCGTGCGAGTATGTTCTGGCTGGTGCTTAGTTTGTACAGCTGGTTCTCACTCACGAATAGCTGGTTTTCAACCAGCTATCATATAGCACCTGAATTGGTGATGTCGAAGTATGGCGTTCATACATGCCATTCTCATGTTCACTTTTCGTATCTTAAAAAGCTTAGGGTCCTTTAGTTCCTTACGTTGAATCCAGGTGTAAGGATCTCTTGGTGCAAACAGCCAGGATACAGTAAATTAGACTTCACTCTCTTCTACATGCACCTCTGGGTATGACATCCCGAGAGCTATCTTTGGATCAACAATCCAGTGCGCAACATGTAGTACCTACCAACTTGTTTAATGTTTGACCTCAGGTTGGATCATACCACGCAACATCGCTCTTAGTAGCGGCAAGAGCTCCCACTCCAGGCGTAGTGAGTCGGAGTATAGGTCTGGAGGGCCTCACTTGCGCTTTAGCGGGCCTGTGGGGAACCGGTACGGGCGCCACGACATTGACTGAAAATGTGCATACGATTGCTGTCACCAAAATGGGTAGTCGTCGCGCTGTGCAATTTGGAGCTACTGTGCTCATAGTTTTATCTTTAGTCGGTAAGTACACTAATCGAACATTTTGGCGAAGGACATATAGATGTATGTGTTCACATTTCATTTTACAGAGACACTTGCGTCTTTGTGCAATATGGCAATTCGCACTAACAAGAGTTTCAGCAAATATTGAGAAGGCTTTTGTCTTTCGTTGGTTCTTTCCACCCGGACAGGATCTGCGGTTGTACTTTCGCATAATGAACCCCAGCATGTTACTCCTCTCCAAAAATTCGAACCGATTGAAGTAATTGCTGAAACATTGGCCTAAGAATCTCTCCATTTCCTTGTGGCATGCAGGCAAAATTGGAGGATTTCTTGCAACCATCCCTCAAGTTATAGTGGCTGCTCTTCTTGTCATAATGTGGACGATGCTTGCCGCCCTGGGTCTGTCCAATCTACGCTACAGTGAAACCGGAAGTTCCCGTAATGTGCTAATAGTTGGATTATCTCTCTTTCTCTCTTTATCGGTTCCGGCCTACTTTCAACAGTACGACGCCGAAGCTGCTGGTGGTGTCAACGCACCTCCTTACTTCCAGCAATTCACAGTGGCGTCTCATGGACCTATCAGAACGAGCAGCACTAAAGTAAGCGGCAGTAGACCCACCAGTCCTTTATTTCTGTACCCTCGATCTTGTAGAGCGATGTAGGAGATGCTATTGGAGTTTTGTGAAATTGTACTAAAACATGGTCTCTCGAAGGATTATGAAGCACTGCTTTCACTAAATTTCCTCTTCAATGTACTGCACTGCGTACGTGTCTTGGAGCTCGGTATGGATGTTCACATAGATTCTGATGGCATGTGGGATGTCGTGTTGGCCTGACTTGTGCAGTTGAACGAAGTGCTCAATACAATATTTTCCCTGCACATGGTTATAGCTTTTCTCGTCGCCTTCATACTAGATAATACCGTTCCTGGCAGTAAACAGGAGAGAGGAACATATATATGGACAAAAGCTATGGCTGCAAGAAACGAACCGGCAGTGATGAAAGACTACGGGCTGCCATTCGGCATAGGGAGATTTTTCACGTGGGTAAGGTGGACAGGTCTATAAGGTAACATGGTTAGGATCAGTAGTCACATAATTTAGGAACCTTACAATGCACGACGTTTACGCATGAAACCGTATGAGATTTAATGTAGGCTTTGTTGACAAAGTCTATCATTTGGAGGAGGAGGTTGCACTTAGTTAGGGGAGGTAAGGGTAGATCAAAGGTAGAAGATGCTTCACAAGCACCACTATAAATCTCCACACATGATTAGCACCTATCAACTATGTCAGTGTTAAAATTATATGTATTCGAATTTGTTTACAGCCTTCAGTGCTTCCCTTTACTGAACCCCTATCCCTGTGATAGCAGACATTTTCAATTAGCTAGATTCCAATCTTTCGCATGTAAGTATTCTGAGCTACGAGCTGTGGTGTGAAACATTCATTAGTGTGCTACCCACTAGAATTTCGATCAACCGGATTCACTTGTACAGTATTGGGCGTTGCAACATCTATTCATTGTCAGGGCCCATTCCTGACTCATTGGCCGACCGACTCTTCTCAATCTTCTGAATTTTCCTTCAATAATCTCAATTCATATACTCAAGGAGTCTCTCTTTATTCATCCCTTAAGCCCTAAAGTGAAAGGATATTATTTGTATGGAAAAGCAGACATGTCGAGGTATTTATCTGCAATTCACGTACAACGTTCGACTTTGATTAATGCATTCAAGTGTAACTTCAAAGGATGGTATGTTGCATAGAGTGAGGATATGATGCATTCTACCCGCATTATAATAATTGTGGTCTTCTAGCGAGGGAAATAGTGAAAGTTTCCAAGCCATTTACAGTTAATTTGTTCTCATCAATCAAAAGGCGGATAAAGGGCCGGTGGATAGGTACCCGAATTCTCGATAGTCTGAAGGCTTGGCGACTAAGACTTTTCGCTATGCCTAAGACTTTCGAGAATTCGGGGTGAACCTAGAAATTAAAGAAAAGACTCAAAATCTTTATTCTTTAAAAAATCTCTTTTGCCAAGCCTTCGTTTAGTTTCTAATTCATCTCTTTTAACGTATTTCCTTACTATCTAGATTCTTTATAGGTGGCTCCACTAAATCTGTCTCAAAGAAATTGAAAACTTTACAAATTAATTACCTTTAATTAAATTATTTTCTTCAATTTCTCGAGATTTAGAAATTAATGAAATGGAGTAGGTTCGAACGGAGCCAAGTACAAGCTAGAAAATAAGGAAATATACCGTAATAGACATATACAGGCATGTTTATATTAGCCGGCTGGTAGTTATCACAAAGAACTCTTCCAAATGCATGGCAAGGCAACAATGGATGTAGACCTAAGATAAGAATGCCAACATAGTTTTCTCTTTTTCAATACAAAGAAATTTGTGAAGAAAAAAAACTGCATCTATACTCACAAGAAATTTCATAAATTGCATTCAACGCTACAATGAGTAGAGTTAACGTCAAATCCATCATGATTGCTGAAATTGGGACTAGTATCTCCTATAAAAGTGGTCGAAAGAGGGAGATGAAACATCTCACTTTCCAGTGGTAAGTTTCCCACGGGGCAAAAACATGCACTTTTACACAACGCAAAGTACTTACATCTATAATATATGTGGTTACAAACATTCAGGCATCTCTAAGTAGGGAACATTATGTAAGTTCCATTTTTCTTTGAAATACGGAGCGTTGCAGGAATAAAATACGGAATATATGGCATTTTATTGGATTTGGTAAGACATCATTGTTGGTTCTTCAGCACATAATGAATATGGCGGCAATGTAATATCCTTTCAAGAGAAAAAGGTGTCAGATTGGATCGATGAATGTCTTTTTCCCATTTTAAAATGGAAAAATCGCTCTCAACAGTAGCGGTATTAGGAAAAGGAGTTATTAAACCCCCACATAACTCCATCAACTCAGGAAATCGATCCTTAGTGGCTGCGGTTTTCCAAGCATCATTGAAATCGGTTTGCTCGCTGTGACGGCTGAAAGCAGTTTGAAGTCTTGGCTCTTTGTTGACTGCATTCAAAAGCTTTTTGTGCTGATCCACAATGGATGGATCCAAGTTGGAGACTTGGAGACTCACACTCAATGGAGCTTTGAGACCAAAAGGTCGACAGTCGATCGTGGTATTTCAGCACTAACTTAACGACGTCACGTGTTTTCAAGGCAAGCAGCTCGTGGGGTAAACAAGGAGGAATGCCATCGGTACTGGCATCATTCACTTCGTTCCGTAAAGCTTCCAGAGAACTTAGTCCGTTGACGATTGATAGCATGATTTCTCCAACAGTCTGCAAAACTTTGGTGTTTTTAAGGCAAGCAGCTCGTGGGTTAAACAAGGAGGAATGCCATCGGTACTGGCATCGTTCACTTCGTTCCGTAAAGCTTCCAGAGAACTTAGTCCGTTGACGATTGATAGCAGGATTTCTCCAACAGTCTGCAAAACTTTGGTGCATTCTTTTGGTTGTAACTCAGCAATAGTCTGACTGGCAAAGATGCCTTGATCTTGAATGAATCCCGTTAGGTCTGCATGGCTCACCTGTCTCTCCCCCATAACAACTACATCATGAGCAGGAGGCATGGTGTCATCCGGAATCACTTTGACAAAAGCAAAACGTTGTGAAGAATTCAGCAATGATTGAACAGCCGCCGCTTGCTACTGCAAGGTAACCCGGCGGCCTTGCAAGCCTTCGACACATTCATTGACGTGTCTCAAAATCTCGCTAACAACTGAAATCAAGATCTAGAAAGCCGGAGTTGGAAGGTGGTCCCAACGGTCGGGCGAGTCAATTTCAGCAAAGTATATCGCAATTTCCGCTCTTTTTTCAACTAGAAATCGAGCGACTTGCGACATTGAACCCCGTTGAGTTTAGATAGATGCGAACAGATGGCCTGCATTTCCTCATCAAATTCTTCTGCCGCCGCAAGAACGATATAATGGAAGTTAGTGTCTTGTGGAAATCGCATCCGGCATTCTTGTACACTTTCTGCATAACGATATCAATCTGATGCACAAGACACCAAACTCGGATAAAGTTAGGCTTCACAACATTTTGAATCCAGGTGACAACTCCGGAAAGACGTCCAATCATGTTGGCAGCACCGTCCTTCAAGCAACCAATCAACTTGTTTTTCCAGAGAGCACAGATGGCATCAAAGAACTTTTCAAACATCTCGAAAGTCGCTAAGCCAGTATGTCGGCCAGCAAATGGGATAGTGACCAAGTCAAGATTCTCTAGACCAGAGCTTTGATAATATCGAACGCGAACATCGACCCAAAGAAGTCTGCTGCAGGTCGGTGGAAGCATTTACTACTCAGAGCTTGCGAAATGTGCTAGATCAAAATTGCACAAGCAACTCTAGCGTAGGAAGCAACCAGGAAATCATTGCAAACGCCGAGTTTTGGAATGTCACAAACATCCTTTGCATCATGGATTGCATCAGCAGCCATCGCAAACCACATACCACGCCCAACAAAACGAGTCGCTAACAAGAACTGCTTGGACTTGTTGATTTCTACGAGATATCCGCTACCGTCTTCATTCGGTTTAAAAAGAGACATTGCGATTGCACGTGTTTGCCCTTCCATATCCGTTGGATGCCAAAGCATGTCGCCAATCACAACGTCAATGATGCTGCTTCTGACGCTTAACGTGATGGTTGCAGATATGTTCTCGATACAAGGGCAAATTGTTTATGCGTGCTTGACAGCAACATCAAAATATTTTGATTTCTCCTGCGGTGCCAGTCCTTGGTATTCAGCCCATCTAGATTTGTAGTTCAGGCGGAGATGCTGCGTATAATTGTCGGTTCGAAATGGAGGCCCTTCGAATGTTTAGGTCGTTGAGTACTTCTTAGAAAATCTTTCGCGACCAAAACATACACAAAACTGGGTTTAGGGTTTAGGGTTTTGCAGTGGACAGCAACAACTTCGGAAGTTGTCGGAACGCGGGCGGTGACAGCCAGCCCAGTTTGAAACACCGTTCCAGTCGAAGCACGCAATGCTTCGGCTAGAACGGTGTTTTGCGAGCTGAAGCTTTGCAAGGACGCTTTGCAGCAGGCTCAGTGATGTCCATGAATGCAAGAGTGCAGTAAAATTTATTGAGTAATTTACTTGACCATTTACTCAATAAATGGTTAAGGGAATGTCGTTGGGAAGTACGGAAATGCGTCACGAAGTTTCAAAATAGGTGAAGGAGTACCTAAATTTTCTAGTAAAAAACGATATTTTTTAAAAATGAAATACGGAATATACGGATTCTATTTATAGATTTACGTATCAAGAGAGTCCTGCAAACATTCCATGACATTAACCGTACACATGGTAGCATCTTTGCTGCGAACTAACTAGTCTTTGGGAGTTAAGATTCACCTGGAGAGTTGTTAGCTCGTTCAGTTAGTTGGATCACGAATGCATCTCAAACACCTCTCTCTGTTTGAGCTCACGATAGATTTGTGTTCTCGAAATACTCCTCTTCGCACACAATCTACAATGTCTTCTGGAATTAGAATACTCATTTTCTTTAATTAAATATTAATCCCATCAGTTGTTGTGCCCTTCACTATGTTGGAGGAATATCCTACTTCCACTTTGTGCAAGTGCGACTAGTATCTACTCCGTAAGAGGGCAAAAACCATTGCACGTTTGTGAACTTATCACCAGTCAAGCCAACTTCAAATTTTCTAAACCAGATAAACGTCTTCCCAAAATCTAGCAGATTTTGCAAGAAGAGATTTTTATCTTTGTACTCTTCAAACACTAGAAATAGGCTTGAAATATTCTGGCAAAAAACCTAAGGTAATGAATGAGTACTGATGAAAATGGACAATATAAAGATGTGTTCTTGGTGTAAATTGACAAAACCTTGAATACCTTGGATGAAAATGGACAACATAAAGATGTGGTCTTGGTAAAAGTGTCTTATGTCTATAGTGATGAGCACGGATGAATAAATCAACACAAAATGTTTTAGATCCGAATTAAATCATTTAAACGGGAGGGTCATACTTTATTAGCATCAATTCAATCGCCAAAAACGAAAGTAAATTTAGTTAATTTAGGTGCTCCGCCATACAGTTGACTAAATTATGCATGCTTGGACATATATGTTGACGTGTTATATCATTATAATAAAAATATTGAAGTTGAAGAACACTCATCAACTAATTTGTAATAACAGTGACACGTCTGTCTAAGAGCAATTGAGGTTTCCAAGATGTCATATTTTGGCTCGTCATATGTCTCAGGTTATTACCAAGTTCTGGAAATATTTATAAAATAAAGCATGCATACATACACATAAACTTATTACATACTTAAACGATATCAAATTAAGCTTGTAAAAATGGGAGATACACATAGTAAAGTCAAGTAAACAAGCATGTCATAACAATTGAGAAAATCATGAGGTTTGATTTTTATAATAGCATCATAACAACTTTAGGTTACAAAATCAAAGCGAAACTGAAGTTTCTTTATCATCATTAAATTTTTCAAAAGAATTTGTTAAATGTAACAAACCAAGATTTAGGCTAATCTTACTGATTAATTTAACCGAAATAAGTCGGTACACAATTACTCTAATTGATTAAATTCAATACCAGGCTAATTTTCGGAATTCCAGATTATTTAGAAAGAGTATCACTGTTGTTCTACCAAGCTATCATTCTATGTTCATCTAATTTGGTTTCTTATCAATGAAAATATTCATATGTAATATCAAATAACATTCACGGTTGGCGATTAAATTGTCGTTAGATTAACTCATCAAGTAGATACATTAAAAGAGCATACACTACACAGATTTCATTGAGACTAACATAGCCTTTACACTCATTAGTGAAATTAGACTTAGAGCGAATACAATTAGTTGGAGCTCCCAATGATATTTGAATCTATGGAAAAGACATTGTGGATGAAGCAACAGTCTCAATACAAAAAATGTGATTTGTTGTGAATCGAAGTGCAGTCTTTTGAATTTCAGATTTTAATAACATGAGTATGGATACAACATAGTAAATCTTAGATCCTAAATACATGAATCTAAGTTCTTTGATTTTTGAAAGACATTTCAAACAAATGTTGTGTGTTGATCAAGTGTGAAGAGTGTTAGATTTGAAAAATATATCTTCTAGTCATAAATTGATTTATTTGCTCATATTTGAAAAAAAATTTGATCTCTCAAAATATTTTTTTTGCAAAATAAAAATAAAAGCTTTGTAAGAAGTTTTATTATATATTTTCAAAATATTTAATAATGAAATAAATGTGAAAAATTGACCAATTGGACTCAAAATAAAAAACAAGATTGATGATATTACATTTATCATCAAGTATATCAAACATGATTATTAGTAATTTTTGAATTTAAATTCAATTAATATTAAATTTTTTGAAATAATTATATTTTGACTTAAATACTAAGAAAAGAGCATCGAAATATTAGCATTTATGAGAAAAATGTATTTTTTGAAAATATTGATATGAAATCTCACAAAATTTTTAATAATATTTTTTTGTGCATCAAATATAGCTGTGAAATATAGTAATTTTGTAATAAAAAATAAAAAATAATTATAATTAAATTAATTTGTACGTTGCTTATTTGTTAAATTTCATTTTAATAATTTTATGACTATAAATGTATGTATTGTTTTGCTTTTAAAATGTTACTGCAAAACACATGATCAAATCATTTGAAGATTTGACAAAATTTTTTACTAATATTTATATTTCTTAAGTAGTTTCATTATTTCATAATTATGACAATATCAGATTTTAAAATTTTAATCAAACCTTATATCTAATCACATGAGAAAATCAAATTTATTATCCATATTCAAACCTTAAATTGAAAAATCCTAGCCACATTCTCAATTCAAAAATTTATTATTTAATCTAGCTTTTAGATTTAGAAGATTAAATTTCAAACTCAATATATATTACAAATATCAACTTTCAACTTACTTAAATATTTCACTATCCAACTCAATATCAATTACAAATTTATATTTTGCAATTATTATTTTTTTGGATGTTAAGTTTTGAATTTAATCCTGTCTAATAGGTCTAAAATTATATTCTTATTTATGTGTCAGTCTTAATTATGGGAAAAATTAATTTATTTCTATCAAATTTAAAATTCAAATGATTTGAAACCACAACCTAATATGTATTTTTGTATTCAAATCTTAGATGGAAGTGATATTATGTCTGACTAATTTTATTCATATGCATACACTATTATGTATTTTTTAACTTTTCTTGATTCATATATTTTTTTATGCTCAATTTTTTCACATGTAAAAGTAACTATATTTTCCACTATGAATCATTAAATATTAACTACTAATTATGCAGAACGTTTTTCATTTTTGATGATATTTATAACAACCTTGGCGACATAGCAGTTGATAAAATTATTGTGAGATATGAATATGAAAAATGAATATTTTTAGGGTCCACCCTAAACCCTAAACTTTTCAAGTTATTATTTTAAGATTTAGGGTTTATAAAATCCTCAATAGAATAGAATAGAATTTACTCATGACACAAATAATTCCGTACTACCCACACATGTAACACAACATGCACATCAGATCTGCAGAAAGGATAGTGATATGAAAACTGGTATTCATAACATGATCCATAAATGATCATGTTAGAACACCATAATAAAAATCATCAATGTGATTTATACCTTAAATATTTTAGATCCCACAAGCCTAATCTAACCTTTATATTCTATGGAGATAATTCACAAGATCATAAAATAACTACATAGTTTTCATTTCATGTTCATCTTATCACAAAAAGTCAAAAGCAGATACATTTCTTTTAAGATTATCATATAGATCAACCATCAGCTTAAAAGCATTATTAGACACTCCACTACACAATCCAATCTTACACCACTGATTTTTTTAATTTGAATTGAATGATTTCTTCTTTGATTCTTTTTATTTCTTGGAAAAACATTTGCTTTGTTGTTTGTGTTGAAGCATTGATTAGATCTCTTATCTATTTTTACATATATATATAATTCACCTTGTGATGAGCTTTTCCATTGCTGTGTAATTCTATGCTAACCCGTCCGATAAGATTACTACATAGTTAGTATTCAATGTTTCAAATAAAAGCACGTGTTTAAATAAATTTGGTGAAAGTTGGAATCTGGAGAAGTAAAAAGTAATCTGAAGGAAGAAGATATGAAAATTCCAAATTTTTCATTACTTAACTTTTGCTGGAAGGCAGATGAAAAGTAAACGGGCGAGTAAATGATTGTAAGTGGTGCGCAGTTGGAGAAACTTAATGTTATCATCCAAATGTCATAGAATTTCATCTAAATTTTCGCACAAAATGATCTCGTACGATTTTGTCTTATTCATATGTCTAAATATTTGCTAAGCTGCCGTCTGAATTTGTGTTGACAAGTAGATAAAGGATTGTTGTACAGTACGTCATGCAACTATCGTTTATCTATGGTCAATGTACACAGGACGACTACCAGACGTCGTTGTGGGCTGACTAACAGAGAAAGGGATGGTTTGTCGCAACTCACTATGGTAAAAACTCAGAGTCTTCTCTATGCATGGTTGGCAAATTTCTCTCAGCTGATTCTTTCCAGCACCATTCTATAATACGTCTAACATCCACAGCACCCATTCTTCGTATTTTTGCACGTCGTCTCCGCTTTCCTATTTCTTCCATCGCAAATCGCCGAAACACATCCAGAAGTGGATCTCGTCGTCACATCGTTGTTTTTTTGCGTATTTTGCCTTGGAAGTCATTCCATCGCGTGCGTACGAAAGGCGTACCGTTTGTCTGCAACTGGAATCAATCGAACAGATCGGTCTGAAGAAAATTAGAAATAGGTTGTCTTCGAATCTCAACACAAATTCATTCGTGCACGGGAATGGGCGTTTGGTGTTGTTATCTTGAGTTTCCACATCTCATCGCGAGTGCGAAGCGGTTGTCATCGGCCAGGATTTAGCACAGATAACAATTCATGGTTTAGTGACTGCATAGTGCTGGAAATGGAATGATCGTCGACCACGGAATGTGATAATGTGCTTTCTTGAGCTGGAGTCCATGTCGGTCTTTGACTTATAAATTGAGGGACTGACTGGACCTCTTGAAGCTAATGGGGATGGAGTTAATGGAGATATTTGGACATCTTGGCGAGGCAGAGCAAACAGCTGCAGATCCCAATCTGACTGGTGGCGATCTTACATTCGGTGACAACAATGAGAGGTTGATCTGTCTCCCATGCGTGATTTGTCCTTCTGAATTCAATCGGCCGTCCGTTGTGAGGGTAGATGGAGCTACTAGCACTTTTGCTCTTGGATAGCATCGATATCTGTTCCTCCTTCACAAAAAAAGTGAATGCTGATTCAATTATCCTGTATTCACAGTGACGAAGTTTCGTTGGAGGGTCTTCAAGATGAATTGGAGCATTTGCAAGGACAGAAGGTATGCACACTTCCTCTTGAAATGAAAATTGTAGTGCATATGTCGTTGGAAACATCGGTTCCCCTCGAGGATTGCTTCGACGAGCGACGTACAGGACATTTCTTTTTTGAGTTCATAATCAATGCCAAGTAAGTTGAAGATGTTGCTGACGAGAATTTATCTGTGCTCGCATTCGTCAATTGTGTCACTAAGGTTAAGTTGAGTATGAAGAATGTCTAGTCCTGCCAATATGTAGCTTCAGTTTTGTTGATCTTTGGCGTTCATAATGCTGCCATATGACAAAACCTGATCCGTAAACTCATCACCTATTCACATGTTTTAGCTGATTAGCTGTCTTTTTGCGCCGAAACTGCAGATGGTATCAAACATTCTCGGACAGGGAAGTCAGCTACGGGAATACGCTCGAGATGTAGAGGAGAAGCTGCGGCTTGTTGAATTGGAGTCTATACAGGTGGGCAACTTTAGAAGCTGGTGGAATTCCTCGTCGTCGATGGCCTTCTCATCTTTGTGAAGTTAAGAAAAGTTGGAGTGGAGACTAGTGAACAGTCGCGCTTTACTACCAGCAGATGCAGGAAAAGGTTTCACGAAGATCTCAAGAAAACCTAGAACTGGACTCATCTCGAAGATGAAAGCTCTTGAAGACCAGTGTTGTTGCACATTCGTGGCGGAGATATTTGTGTTTTCACACTGATTTGTCATGCTTGTGCCGAAATATCAGGACTATATGAAGGAAAGCGACAATCTGGTGTCGCTCCATGCCCAAATACGAGAATGTGATACCATATTGACACAAATGGAAACACTTCTTGGGGGTTTTCAGGTATTTCTCCTTATTTTGCCAGCAATCACCAGGGCCGCTCCTCCTTATCTCTCTTTAGAAGCACGAGAGGTGCTCTTTGTTTTGAAATAAAGCGGTGCGCAAACATTTACCCGCTCCTTTCTATTCGCAAATACTTTCTCTTTACATTGAGTTCTCTTGCTGCTGTGTTGAAGGCGGATCTTGGTTCAATCAGCTCAGAAATTAAGAGTCTTCAGGAGCAGTCAATGAGCATGGGAGTGAAGCTGAAAAATCGCCGGGTGAGACCGTTGTTTCTTGTGAATACCCAACTGGAGACTACTTTCTAGCTTCGACTAAAAGACTAAAGATTGGACAAGTCCTTTCGATTATATACCGATATGTAGGAATTTTTGTGTTTCTTCTTCTTGCTTTTGGCTGGTGCTAGTATACTGATGGTGCTCTTATGTCCAGATTGCCCATTGTTTAAATCCCAAACCTCCTATGGTTGTCCCTACATTGAATGTTCCATTTTGCTCTTTTCCTCACATGTGAATCCTTTGAGATTGCTCACATATTGACCCTGAATAGTCGTGGATTTTGAACTGTTCTACCTCGTGAGAGTACAGATGTTTTGGACTTGCTTGATAGGGTATGTCGAAAGTTTTTCAACATAGAACTTTTCATCAAATAGATGCTTACTGCCCGAGAGGTACATCGTCTATGAACTATGTAATCTGTGCTATTATGGTTTAGGTCCGTCAATTGTTACGTGGTATTCCTTCTCCTATGGGCCTTACTCTGTCCACATCCTTATCGCTCGAATCTAGTATAAGATCTTACCTTTAACGTGCTCCGATTGTGAAAAACAGTAGCGCGGACATTGTTCGTCTTTTGTTTCCGTTTCTCTTGTGGTCTGTTCATATTAACATTATTTGCATCATGCCTGGTGCTACATCCCTTTTCCAGGGCTTGTTCCTAAAATTGTGTGGTTCTTTGTTGTAGTCTATTAATTCTAGACATCGATCGCTCATTGTTGAGTGGTATTCTCGCATTCTTATTGCTTACCCCTATAGCCTCGGTTTATATCCACATGTGTACTAAGGATATAAATGGATTATGATACATTCATGCTTGCCTGGTAAACTAGGTTGAAGTTTAAGTTTGTGTTGCTTCTTCGTCTTCTACAAGTGCTTTTTTGTTGATTTTCAGGCAGCTGAGCTGAAGCTCGCCCGATTCATCGAGGAAGTTGTCGTCTCACCCAACATGATCGACACAATCGTCGATGGAGAAGTAAGCTAACTGGTCGAGCTTCTAAAGGCGTCGAAGACATTTCCTTCTGCTTTCGAGATGTTTCATTCTGCTGTCGTATCAGTGGACTGGATTCGAAGCTTCCAGATTCGTCTACCATGTTGTAACACAATGACATACTACTGTAGCAGTTGTCCCTTCCCACATCATCAGTGTTTTGACAGAATCACGCTACATGCCCAGATTTGTAGGCATGTATGATATTTCTAAATGCATGTCATGCAAGTCGAGCCCTCAGTCTGTTAGATCTAGATCTAACAGACTGAGGATTCGATTGAAGGATATATATATGCAGGGGCGTATGTCATCTGTTTTAGACCCGCATCTCTTATTTCACCGCAGACAAAGATGAAGTATTTCACGAGATGTGGGTTTACATCTCGGGAAGTGTTGATATCATCATCTTTTGACATCTTCTGCTTGTAAAGCTGACCTAGAGCAACGTCGTGCCGACGTTTCCGTGGATGTGGATAACAGGTGAATGAGGAGTATCTACGAGTTCTCCAAGTTTTGAGTAAGAAGCTACAGTTTCTTACAGATAACACGGTTCTCAAAGACTCCGCAGCCATGAAAGATGTCATACCTGAGCTTGAAAAACTCCGAGTAAAGGCTGTCTCGAAGGTGCCCTCTTGCTACTAAGCTTCGTACAGGAATTTCTTTGATCGTCTGTCCTAGTCCCCTTGTTTGTAACAGCTGAGTGATCAACCTTTTCCTTGTATTACCAGATTCGGGAATTTTTGATGCAGAAGTTATATGCTTTGAGGAGACCTAAAACCAATATTCAAATACTGCAACAAAATGTTCTATTAAAGTACAAGTAAGTCATAGAGCTGTGTACTTCGTGATCGAGTATTGCCTCATCAATTGCTTGCAAATCTTTGAGTCTCGCGAATTCCTGTTGTGATGCCTTCGTATGTTTCAATCGTTCGGGAGCTGTAGCTGTGGGTGGTGAAGTTTCAATAGCTGTCATATTTCAAAGCCAATCGCGGTCCATGGCTTTCTCTATTGATCAACAAGGGAACTCTTTACTGCTTACTGGACATCTAAGTATGCATCTCATCTCAATTTTTCACGACTATACTTCGCTTCAGACTCTTCTCTCGAAGAAGACACTATTTTTTATCCAGGAAAATCAATGAGCAGAAGGCAATTTAAAGGCAAATGCGCGTACTTTTTACGACTAATTTGATTTTGGTGCAGATATGCTGCCACCTTTCTGCATGATCATGGGCGAGAGGTGTACCCAGAAATCCGAGCAGCATATGTTGACACTATGAACAAGGTAGTAGCAGCAGGGTTGCCAGGTGTTTTACCCAGATAAAGCGCGTTGTAGCAATGAAGCTTGAATTGCTGTCTCATTGAATTCTAAGATTTCACTACACCTTTCCTGAATGATAAACATTAGCACTCACAAACTGAACTTTTTTTTTGAAAAAAAATAATTCGTCCGTTAGTCAGACAAGTACTCCCCGTATCGTACTTATTAGGAATCTTACCTATGCTCAACGTACAGAGCTAGCATCAACAAGATTTCTTTTTAATTACATCTTCAAGTTACCAATCCAGCGGTGCATTGCTGTTGTAAGTTTACATTCGAACTATCGGAGTTCCAGCTAACAAATGTGATCCTTGATCACAATTATTTCTGTTTTGAAACATGAATGGTTTTCCTCGCTTAGATCTGATCTTTGAACTGTTCGTTACTATCGCTTGTTACGACTGTTCGTTTAGATTTTACAACAGGTGTCAGTGTGCCAACTTCGATGGCAAATGAACACTAATGATCTGATTGCAAAACGTATCGCCTCCTCTGACAAGAATGTGCTGAATGTCGTTGCAGGTATTGAGCGCTCATTTTCGAAGCTACATTCAAGCTTTGGAGAGACTGCAGCTTGACATAGTGACAAGGAACGACTTGCTGGGTGTTGAAGACGCCGTGACAAGGGGCAGTGGGCTCTTCTCTCGAGCAAAAGAACCTTTGAAAAATCGTTCTGCCGTTTTCGCTTTAGGGGATCGTGCTTCAGTTTTGAAGGTCAGCAACATGTCGTCTTATCAGTTTTCTTGCGCAGAAGCGATCTTCATCAAATTTTCTTGCTCTAATGACGGGCGATCTGCACTAGTGAATCTAACACCGTAGGATGGTAATTGTAGTATGGAAAAGCCTAACCACATCATATCTCAACAACAAATGGGATCGTTAACTTTGCTGATTATATGGTTCAACTGGTTAGGACGTTGACGAACCCGCCATCATCCCCCACATTGCAGAAGCGAGTAATATAAGATTTCCTTACGAGGTTCTCTTTCGAAGTTTGCACAAATTGCTGATGGATACTGCTACTTCTGAGTAAGTTCTTTATAGCGACGTTCCTTCGGTTGGTCATGAGTAGAAACAGACCAATCCTTTCATTTTTTCCCTTCCTACAAGACCTGGTGTTCTAGAACTGTCATTCCACACCTCGCTGGTTAAACGTTTTATTTGATAATACACACTCTCAACGTTTTTCCGCCCAGCATATTCTTGCTGAATTCGTCGAATAGAATTTGAAGTAGATAAACACTAATTTACGTTGTCTCCTGTTCCTATTTTGCAGATATCTCTTCTGCTCAAGCTTTTTTGGAGATGATACTATATTCAATGATATTTTTTCCGGTCTAACACCTCATTCCTGGCTCTTATGACAGCTTTTGTCAACTCACGTTGCAGTCTTGTGCTTTTTTCTCTTTCTCACCTGCATTGAATCAGGTGGTTTAGTTTTTGAAAATACGGTTTTATATCTTGCGTACTTTAGTTCTCCTGAGTAACTTGAGAGGGTGTCGTCAAACCGACCTGCTACAAGCAACCTGCCAACAGCTTGAGGCAGCTCCTCGTAGCTATTGGGTTTTCCTATCTATTTGTTTTGTTCGTGGTTGTCTCTTACGAGGCACGATTTAACATTTTAGAAGTGGTCAAGTGGGGCTCAGCAGTTTTACGCCTCCTTCTAACCTACGGACGAAAATTGCAGGTCCTTTTGGAGTTATCAACGAACATCTTAATGCGGTACTGCCCAATAGTTTCGATGCTATAGGACTCATGCTCATGGTTCGGCTGACCTACCACCATCAGGTACTGTGTCAATATCCCTTGACTGGACTTAAAGTGCTAGATTTTGGAACGTAATTAACTAGTAGCATGAAGCTTAGCGGTCAATTTCCATAAACGTTGACAAACAAATGAGTTTTTGGTGTTTTGGTTATATCATACTGGCAAATATAGGGGCTGATGCGCAACTGTAATGTTTGCGGATGTTCAGCTCGTAATGTCAAGGAGACGGGTTCCATGCTTGGATTCCTATTTCGACAAGGTGATGCTCCCAATACTAGTGTAAATTCAGTTCTTGGGTTTGGAAATTCGTTTGTCGCTTAGAACGGTATCAATACAAAAACCTTGCTTTCATTCAATTTTACCAACTGACGGGACTGGTTGGCATATTGACAACAGCTGAACCTTTTGATATGGCCTCGATTTAAGCTGGTATTTGATATGCACCTAACAAGTCTTCGCTCAGCTAACGTCCGGACCCTCTGGGAAGATGATGTTCGACCACATTATGTCACTCGTCGCTATGCAGAGTTCGCTGCTAGCCTCCTTCAGCTGAATAAGGATTACGGGGATGGACAAGTGGTAAGTACCAGTTTCCCAAAATAGGACGTAGCTATGCAGAGCATGCTTAGAACGTGCTTTCCTTCAACGACCCTACGACTGGTTAGATGATGTGAATATGAAGAATCCATGTGTTCTGCTGGTGTTTACGATCATATATATCTTGTGAGTCAAATTCGAAGGTCAAATGTGAGTAAAATTCTTTGAAATGTAGAAATGAGCATCTTCATCCCACCTTCGGAATGACTATAAGGAGTACGTTTGCAGCTTGATTTAAATCTGGAGAGATTACGCGTGGCTGTTGACGATCTGTTGGTCAAACTAGCCCGGATGTTCAGAAAGCAAAAGCAACAAACGATCTTTCTTATCAACAACTACGACATGGTGCTGGCTGTGTTAAAGGTTTGTTTTACCGTCGAAAACTGGCACTTCAAATTCATGGATGCTCATGTCCCTCATACTGGCTCAATACAAGAGATACATGCGGTTGAGGGGTTGATGTGAGCATCGTGTCTGTATCTTTTAGGAAACCGGGAATGAGGGTGGAAAGACACAGCAGCAGTTTGAAGACTTGCTAAAAAGCAGTTCCACCGTCTTTGTGGTACGCTTACCATACCTGAAATTCTTCATTTCTGGTAGAAATTTGAGACCTTCACGTTGTAGTGGAGGGAGAAGAATCATCTCGTGATGATCCATATTCCTTCCATATTACGTATAGAAGTGTAACTTTATGGGCACCACATCATCTTGACAGGAAGAAGAGCTGAGGGAGTACTTTGAGAAGCTTATCGCGTTCGTGAAAACAAGAGCAGGTAACTTCATTGAACATCTGGTTTGACTGACTTTCTGTGTTGGAGATTGTGTATGTATGTTTCTGAATCCCGTCGGCATGAAAGCAGATTGAGTTGTCCTGATTATTTCAACTACCTTCTTTTATTTGAAACAGGTGAAGATGCTGGGGCCAGCAACCCACAGCCCATCACCTTAGAGGAAGTGGAACCTCTGGTTAAAGATTTCGCTGTTCGCTGGAAAGGGGCCATAGAAGTCATGCACAAGGATGTAATAACTTCATTTAGCAACTTTGTTTGTGGGATGGAAATTTTGAGAGCAGCGCTAACTCAGCTGTTGCTGTATTACACTCGTCTTTCTGACTGCTTAAAGCGAGTTACCGGGGCTGCTGATTTAGGTAAAGATGTGGTGTCCATCTCAACCATCATGTATGAGATCAAAAAGTACTCAAGAACATTTTAGTCCCTGGATGGAGGGTGAAGGACTCCGCTCTCTCACTGAAATTTTTACAAGCTCGAGCAATCTCAAGTTGTTGCAACTGGCTGTTACCAATAAATTGAAACTCAATCATACGCCCACCTGAATGTTTAAATGGGATCCATGATCATCAGACAATATAAATGGGAGGATTGTGGAATAGTATCACGTCTTCAAGGTCAGCTTGTTGAGTGCTTTAAGAGTACATGTATGCTGTGCAAAGAGGAGCCATACCTTTTCACGAGTTACAGGAAGTCAGATACCATGACGGGCTGTTTGTCAAATGTGGTTGTACACCAACGCCGTGCAGTTACATTGGATGTTAAGTGACACCGTGACCCTTGGAATCGGACCGTTTGGTCTGCACCTTGACGGGTTACTGGAAGTCGGAAAAGTGTTGAAATGCGCCAACTATGGACGTCAGGGAGCCCAAGATGTGCAGTAATTTTGTAAAATCTGGGTAGTGTTACAGTCCACGACACCGAAGGGCCTGAATGAGAGTATCAAACCTTGAAACTAATTGACAACCTTCAACCGTGATGCTGGCAAGATGGTTGGTGGATTTGGGAAATGTACTGTACGTAGAGCAAGCGAAAGAGCAGACATTTATTTTTAAGTGAACCCCAGGAATGGTGCAGCACGATCATGCAAGTTCACTCTGTACTGAAGGTATCGCAAGTGTTATATTTTGTGTGTTAGCAGGCCCTGTGAAGAGTGGACCATCTATTGCTTTTCATGCGGAAAAAATTAATTAATTGTCTGTGTGTTGTAATATAGTAGCTTTGCCTCAAAGATATTATAGATCAGAAACTGCAGATTAAGTGAAATACAAACCTGTTAGAGAAAGTGCAAGGGCATCAGTGCTCGTAGCGGTTTTTGCACTTGGTCTTTTGAAGGAAGTGCTTCGATAGGAAATAGGAAATGGTAATTTTCCATCTTAGATTGGTGACGGAAATATATTGGACTTTTTAATGCGAGCTTTAGTTAAATGTCTTAGGAAAGGAGAAACATACTACAGTACTGTATAGTATCCAGATCTATAAAGCACTTAAAAATCGTACGTGCTTTTAGCATATGTAAGGATCGTCTAATTTCTTGTTAGTGTACTTGATGGGGATTAGCCATGAACCGGTTAACAACTCCTACCGAATAGCTAACCTCTGGTCGAGAATCAGGTATATAAACAATATCTTGACTACATCTGTATCTGTATACAAGATGCTACGCGTCTTGTAAGCAGAGGTACGCGTCTGCTTCAGGGCTTCCCATTTACGTGACTACATGCAAAGTTTCCACCATGGGGGTTTCATAGTTACGATCAACCATTCCCGCTACCTAATTGCTCAAGCATTCCATATCTGATTCCTCAAGCATTTGAAGAAGAACTGTATGTGGAGTCATGAATATATCATCAGGTGTTTCAACACACTCAATCTGAAGGTAGAGCATAAAATTTATAAGTAGATTGTAGCTATTCTGAGATGTTACACACTTCCTCTATTTCATGTCCGGTAAGTAAAAGACCTAATCCTGCAAATTATTGACAAAGGTTTTGTGATGTTTTTTCAAATATGCCTACAACGTTTGTATCACAACTTCATATATCTGCCAGCGGGCCTCCATGGTATCATGAGAGAGTTCTTGAAATCTTGCAAATAAGCAAATTGTCCTTCTTGAAGTCAAATACTTCTTTTATCCAAGTTTGACAGTAATTAGCCTCAATTGTGCGTCTTTTGTGCCTGCAACCCTAAACCGTTTTGTTCCAAAACATTGTATTTATTGATAGTTTGAGTAAATAAACCCTACACTATCATTTGAAAAGATCTACATTTGCGGTCCTACAGTATCTTATGTCAAAGCTATCAGATGTTAGTTCATCAACAATGAAAATTTTTAGACATTTAAGAAGCATGTGAACTAGATAAGAATCATCAAGTTGAAAAAACTGAAGAAAAAACAAAGGTTTATCGATGCCAACGAAGAAATGTAACAAGAAAATTTTATCTTTGGAAATTTTGTTGGATAATTTTTTTGTGTGATACATTCCGTAGCATGATGTAAATTCATCCATAAAATATTGTAGAAGGTTACTATACAAAATCATACAGCTTAGTTTCTCTTGAAATGCAGTAAATGAAATCATGAATAGTTTAAAAAATGTCAGCTTGAAAATATAATCCTCTTTCCATTATGATTAGTGGAAGAGTATCACAAAGCTCAGAAGTGACAAGCCGGAGGAGTTAACTATGTGCTTTGCTATATTAGAAATTTGATCTCTTGTTTCCTTATCCAAATCTTGCGAATACCTATCGTCATACAACATACATTGCTGACATGCCACACTCACACACATGGGTTTAGTATCAAGAGCGTACACATACACAAATGTATCACAACTAGAAAATTTTCGTGAAAATCTCACTAGAATAAAACAAAAAATTTCACATAAAGTCAAGTCAAGACCACTCCACAACTTTGAGATCTAGGCTGATGTTCCCAAGACCCTGTAGTTAACCCATTGAGAGTTTATCTCAACACTGAAGTCTCAACTCAGAGAACTGAAGGTTCTTTGAATCTTCAATCAACCATACTCTCCAACAAGAGTGGGCACTAACATAGAGTTAAATCTAATCGGATACTAACTACTCAGTACATCTACGTACATGACACAAATAACAAACATTACACATATTCACGGCGTCAATCACAAGATGACATACTTTGTGCTTTCCTTCCTATGCTCAGAAGATGTACGCTGACAAAGCTAAGACGTACTAGGTGATGATACCAAAGATGTGAGACCAGAATTACTTACCCGAAAAGTTGACTTCCATTGAAATCAATGAAAAATCAAATTTTGGATTAGATCTTGGGTGAAGAAAAAAATATCAAATTAGGGTTTGGGGTTTAGATTTAGGGTTTAATTTATCCTGTGTAATCTTGAATTGATATACCTCTGCCCTCAAGCAACCAGCTGAGGAAAGTTCTTATTTGTCATCATATTTGCTCATCAAAATATTACTCGGAAGCCAGTGTCAATGAGTCTAGCAACAAAGAGAAGGCTTCAAATGAACTCAGGGATGTATACAACATGTTCAAGACTCTTTGTTTCAACTTTTTAAAGCATTCATCAAATCGGAATAATTATCTCCTCCCGCTGAAAGAACGTTGGTAACATCACCGGTCTCAAGATTCACGACCTCCCTATGTGCTACAAATTCCCGGGCTTGGGGGTGACAAACTTTGAAGTTCCATAATATATATACCAAGGGATCTGACGATGTTTGTTCTGACTTAGAGCTAAAGCTGAAATCGTTGACTCAGGTTCTTTTTTCAGTCGGTTGGTGATCTAACTGGTGACCAGTTAGATCACCAACATAACTAATAGATGTTAATAGTCAAGATATATTGAGGAAGAAGGTTTGAAGAGAAAAACTTAAGAGTGTTCGTTTCCTGCATTCTCGAGCAACTAAAAAGAAAAAAGAATCAATTCCTGCATTCTCGAGCAAACTTTTTCCAATACACTAATCTATTACATCAGTGTATCTTACAACATAATCTACCTCTTGCTTTGGTGAGATTTCTATCCTTCACAATGCGTTGACACCGGAGTAAAAAGTGCCTCGACATCCTTCCCTCCATCATCTCTCTTCCTCAAGTTGCAAACGTTTTATACTGATGACCAAGGATGTCAATGTATTTTCGTGATCAGGTCTTTGTATGTAGCAAGGCGGTAATGGGCAGCTATTATGACTTGCTCAACAATAAGAGTGGCACTAAGCATTTATTTGATTTGGAGTAATCAAGTAGCATTTTAAACCCTACATAATAACATTCCAACTCTTCCAAATGCTCTTGATTTTAAAAAGAAATTATCTTCAAATTATCTACGTTATCTCACCATAGTCATGACAAACGTAACATCACCTAACGAACTCTAGAGAAGCAAATATCAGAGACGCTATGTTGCTAAGTTGAAGAGTATGCTTATTGCTTGAGTAAGGAGAACACGAGAGCCAACATATATCGAGAGACATTGGAGATAAACGTGAGTTATGTCCTTGAGATAAAATCTCGAAGTGTATGGATGTGGATTGAAACTTGCTAAAGCCCACAAACCTGATAATTGGCCAACAAAAAAATCATCCTTATCTTGTGGATAACGGTGTGCTTATCTACAGGTAAAACAGTGTGCAGTTGTGGATGCACACCAATATGTTTCAATATTTGCTACACTATATTTGGGACAAACATACTTGAACCACAAAGTATGTTATGATAAAGATGAGAGACAACTGTAAATGGCATATTCCCTTCTGGCTAAATCTAGTTGACTAGTCAGGAACATCAATAATCATTTCTTCTCTCTCGTTGTCAAATTGGATCCTCTCGCTTAGTTGCACAAACTTATACAAACTGCCGTACTGCCAGGTGCAAGGGATCCCAATTTTTTTCTCCTCTTTCTTTCTTGCTTCATGCTCCTTTCGGGCAGCCCCGAGTCAGCCGGATTTTATCTCAGTTTTTGGAACTTTAGGGTCGGCGGATCCGACTTTCCGACAACCAAGAAGGCATGTAGAGGCCGGCATTGTAGAAGCCGCAAAGTTCCATCTAAAGTTTTGTAGCGGAATCTAAACTAAAGGTTACTAAAACTAAAACTATACAGCAGGAGGATAGTTCAGTTATCTATAGGTCGAGCAGCCGCTGCTACCTTGGTCCGCGTCTGATTACGTACTATCTCCACGTAAGACCCGGTGTGCTAGCTTCCGCATACTTCTCCCGCTTTTGATTGAGTTACTGGAGCAACAGAAATACCTGCACACATAGCATATCTGCGGCACTAAGAACTTGTGACTGCACCTCTTCCGCTGAAGGATCCTTACCCGTCTTCAGTATGACTGTTCCGGTGAAGGTCCGGGGTGATGCCACCTTCTGTGATCCACTCTCGGCTGCTTCTACATCCTCTACTGCCTTTGCAGCAACTTGCTCCAAGACCACAAGGTCCTCCTCAGTGTTCGACGACACTGCCAACACCTAAGCGATTCTTTCCCGAGGAGTCTTCATCCGGATACCCGCCGAAGGAACCTCATCCTTCTTTCCCTAAGGTAATTCCTCAGTCAAAACCGCTTTTTCCTTGTCTTTCCTTGAAG